CGGATCCCAGACAAACTATATATTTTCTGAAAGCAGAGGAAGAAACGGTTTCAATGGTGAGCATCTCTTGTACTAGCTGTTCATCTACAAACGTTATGAATTTTTTTATGTTGAAAACTCGAAAATCTCCAAAAATCACTAGGCACCCCCTTCACCACGCACTTTTTTCAACGGATCCCAGACAAACTATATATTTTCTGAAAGCAGAGGAAGAAACGGTTTCAATGGTGAGCATTTCCTTGTACTAGCTGTTCATCTACAAACGTTATGAATTTTTAATTGAATTTTTTCAAATTTTGCCTATAAATCTTCTCCCTCCTTTCCGATTACACAAACAATTTTCGTACAAAATATCTCCTATGCTAAATCTAAATTTAAACAAGAAGTAGTTACAACCTAACTTTGTTTCAACAACCCTAATTTTTCCAATTGCCGAATTTAACAAGTTCAGTATTACGCAGTGTCCAGTAGTCTTCAGCGGAATAAATTTTTCGTGGCAGTCAGGCGTTCGATTTTCCTGTCCTTATTTCTTCCATTGTCATCCAATGCCTTCTTTAGAAGATAACGAGAAGGTTCCAATCCTGCTCCCGTGTGTTTCCTTCTTATTATTTACGTGCACATTTACCAAGAATGGCCATTTATACATGCAATAATTTTACTGTATCTTTCAGAGGTTTCCTGGGCAGACAATATTTTACTTCTTTCTACGTGCTTCATCATTCATAATTTTTAATACTTCCTATCATCACACTTCTCAGAACCACTTCTATTGCAACTTCTGATGGCCTCACAATAGTTGATAGTCGTCATCTTTCAATATTTTCATTAAATTACAAAGCATGAAACGGCAACATTAAGACAAAAATATAGTCATGGTCGGTCCGGACCTTCATCCCATATTCGTATGAAGCAAGTGACAAGCGTTGTATAACCTTTCCTTCTCGAACATTACGCCTGCAAAAACCTCAGTTTTGCACTTGTGTACCATCCAATAATTTTGACCACACTCACTTTTTCAGACCGTTTATAAAATCGGTCCTCATAAAATCGGTCTAAGGACATAACTGGAAGAATGCCACGATTGCCCTTCACTTGCTTCTTGACTGTAGAGCCTACAAATAGGTTGATAGCGTGGTCATTTTATCAGGCATAACCTTACCTCACTGTTGATTTTTTTGTCGGTTTTGGTGAAGGGGGTCACCTTGGTTTCCGGCTCAGGGGTGAAGGGGGGGTGAGCAAATTCTCACACTATCGCACCTATGATCCCCATTTTTATGTACCAGACGGATGCTCAGACGTAAAACAAAGAATTGTATGTTTTCTAAAGAAATCGGTAGCTCAGCACTCATGAGGTCTCTTGGAAATTGGTTCACACATGTAGAGATGAAATCTGGAACTTGAGGTACAGCTTGAACTCGTCGGATGATTCTGAATAGATCTAGAAATTGCTGTGTGTTTTTACGCTAACGAATCTTTAATTTTTCTTTTCATTCCTCCATTGTATTTATGTGTAGCTCTTGATAGAAGATTTATGTAATCCGACCTTAATTGGTCATACACGAGTGCTTACTTTTTAAGGGCTGAGATAGGCTGTCCACTTTTTGCGTATTCTATTTGATTGCAATATCTATCACAGACATTTCCATGTATAATCCATTGCTGAGCCAGCAAATGCAGCGGATAACTGTCACAAGCGTTTTTCTTCTAAGCCGATTTCACCGCACAGTGTTCTTTTTCCATGCAATACGTGGCACAACGCCGCATTTTTGAATATCATTTGTCGATCGGGAGAACTTTATTGCCGTTCTGTTATGCAGAGACGCCTGGGAAATCATGTTGGTTGCGAAGGGATGTGTATCTTCTGCTTGTCTCAATAACTTTTGGTAAGAATAGACAAAGAAGGCTCATGGAAGGTTTCGGGGCATCAGAAGCTTTTTGTAGCCATATTTCAGCATTCTAAATCGGATTATTGTTGGAACAGTTGATAACATAGTCGTCAGTCCAGACTTGTAATAAGCGATATTTTTCCAATTTTTAGAAATACCACGATAATTCGCTGAAATAAGTTTTGTCTGAAATTCCTTCCTCAGCTGCACCCTAATTTTTGCAAAGATTTGATTTTGAGCATGAATTTACTTGCAACATTTTTACTACTGAATTCTTGAAGATTTGGGAACATTTTTGTTTTTCACCGCCGGTATCTTTCTTCTGTAAAGGTAGTAAACGAACGGTAATTGAAACTAGATGAGCGAAGTTTATCTACACAAACTCATTACTGATGATGAATGGCATGAGAACCGGCACAATATCAAGTACGCTCTACTTTGTGCTCATTCTGTGACTATAAATCTGCATGGAATAGAGGAAATGTGATCCCCGTGCATTACGCCAGTCGTTGGCTTGCCTTTCCTGTCTAGATTAGGCCTGCTAGGGATGCTTTCATGCTTTTTTAAAATAGTTTTAAACTAGTGCAGGTGGAGTTATTCCGTCTTTGGAAGCTTTTGTCTTTTTCGAAAAATTTCTAGTGCTTCTTGATTTTTCTAGTAACTTATAAGTACACACGGGATTTAACTTGTACTAACAGCATTTTCATTGTTTTCGATTTCTATCCCTTTGTGGAAAGACAGTGTTTTGTCTTTGGTTTTATGTTCTACTTCTACTTCTGTAGCATATCTCAGAAAGGATAGAGTAGGTTAGTAAGTGAACAAATACGGATAAGTGTTGGATTATTTGACGTAGGAATTTTTACTGCTTCTTTGAGAAAATGATAGAAATACGCTCTCAAATACTCTCAGCCATTTTGTTCAAAGAATTGTTCTAGAATGCACAGATCGAGGAGAAAGATGAACCAAATTTTTGCTGAAAAAAAAAAGTGAGGAGAGGCTTTGTTTTTTGGATCCCATGAACATCATTTGTGTGCAAAAGTTTTTATTGATTTTTTTTGCTTTATGTAAACCTATTTTACAAAAAAAAGGGTCACGCCTTTGTAAACTCAGTTATATGTAAGTGTGCGATTTTCGTCAAAATTTAATTTATTCAGGTCAAAAGCTGTGTAAAATCGTTCCAAATCTTAGTTTCTCGAAGTTAGATCACAAAAATTACCCCAATTCGTGTAACGGGTATAATACTATCCCAAACCCGGTGTGTTTATGCCGGCTACGTTTTTTCTTCGCAAGACGAATACATTATTCTCACACCGCTCAGGGAAAACGCTCAGCTCTCGTCACTACTATTGTTTCTCGGCTACTCCGCTAGGCGTAGGCAGCGCCGGCTATAGTTCATCGGACTAGCCGCTTTGTTAGTCAAAATTCGGTAGAAAATCAAACCAAATTGTCTTTTTGAGGTTTAAAAACAAACGAAAAGCTGATCATTCTAATTAGCAGCTTAACGTCTCCAAACACTACTCAGAAAAAAAAGCGATGCTCGCAAAAGTCGACTCGAATCAATAGATTAAAGACCCATAGGGTGGTAAAAACCTCCACTGAGACGTTTCTGATCCTCATTGTCTGTTTTGTCCTCGTTACGGATATTCGCTTTTGAAAGAGGGAGACGATTTGCAGCCTGTTTGATCCGATTACGCCGAATGCAGTTCTTATAAATAGCGAACTTCTTTGCATTGATTGATTTGAAACGTTTCTGAAACGTTGTCTAAATGTTGTTGCTTTTTTTCAGATTGAAGGATCCATTCATTCACCCAATCATTCGTTTATATGTATATTTGTATACTTTAGTTGTACATATGTGCAGACCGAAAATTTATTGTTGGCTTTATGAAAAAGAATGCAACATCCTAACGATTAGCTATACGTATCTGTTAGCTGCACCTGTGTGAAGCGATGTTATAGCTATTTCTTCTGTCTCCTGATGTTTCAAATGTGAGAATTTATGCAGGAAAATTTGTTACGCCACATCTATACGTCGATTATAGTACAATATAGCAGCTAGTTTCATATTTCGGAATAAATTCCTTTATTAGATTCTTAAATTCTGGTTAGCTTTTTATCGTGCAAGCCTCAGAGAGAATATCACTTCCAACTGAAAACCTATGTTCAAGCTCAAGATTCGCTAGCAGCACTAGCAATAAATAGGATTTGAAGGAAGAGAAGGGGAAATGCACCGAACTTATATTCAAACAAATAAAGGAAAGATGTAAAGTAAGCAGAGATTGTAAATAGAGATCTAGGCAGACCTTGTTGAATGCGATTATATGATGCATTAGAGGAAAGGTGAAATGCCAAATTTTGTTCCCATTGTCCTCACGCTGTCGCAAAATTAAAGCAGATTCTTCTCAACTCAGAAACAATGTCTTGGAAATTCTTTATCTCATGTCGGAGTCCTCAAGTACATACTTACTCATTCGGATCGCCTCTCAAAGTGTAAAAATTGCTCTTTTCACTTTTCTGGACATGAAGATGTTGAATGGAAGTTCGTGACTGGTTCTTGCTCAGCTATGTGGGACTCTTTGCACCGCACATACATGAGCTGTGATTGATCATAGTTTTAAAATCGTTCGCGCCACCCTCATCAGCACTCACTCTTTACTTTTAAGGTAGTGACATGGGAGCGGTCTTATGACAATTTTAATACATATAAAGCACAATATAGGTTTCAGGTTCTTAGAGGACTAGGAACTGTAGAAACTGTGAAGCCAAAATTGTCTTCGACAAACTTGTCTTTGACAAACTTGTCCTTTCTCTCTTGTTTCTTCATTCAGAATCTACTCAATTCGTCTTTCCATAGAGCATCGATTTTTATTCATATGCATAGTATGCTGCCGCCATATGTGAACGTCCTTCTCTTCAGCACATCTGTTTAGTATCGTTCACTTATGTTTTCTCCGCATGCAGCATCTCTTTGAATGAAACTTATCAAGCGATCCGTTCCATCCCAGTCATCGCTGTAAACTAAAGTATTCCCCATTTCCCAGTGTACATTTTCCCAGCGCGGTTTGTATGAATAAGATAATCGCATTGTGATCAACTAGCTTCTTTTTCTTACAGACGGGTTCCGAATGGCGGCTGTGGCGCAGTCGGGAGCGCGAGAAGCGCTGTCGGCTTATCCGACGTCGCCAATCGCAGCTGCCTGCGATTCGCCGTCGCTCGCTTGTGGCGATTCGCCATCGACAACACGAAGTCCACGATGTGAAGCGTTTGTGATGACCGGCGACAAAATACTGAACCTCAATCATCATATCTCACCCAACTATGCCAAGGTAAGCATCAACAGCTATTACACTACATTTTTTTTACATTTTTTTTTACATTCAATCAGTTTCGTCCTTTCCAACAAAAAAAATGCAAAAAAATGCTTATCACGAAAGCTTGCTCAAAACTGTACCTTACTGTATGCATTTTCTGGCATTAATTAAAGGCCTCAATCGAGTTTTTGCCGAAGTACCACTTCATGTGTTTAATTAAGTCCTAGTAATTCGGCTCTGACGCCCAGACCGTATCTTTCTGAGTGGACCATCAGTCCATACCGTGCCTGAGGAGTAGTCTGCTCGGAAAAGTACGGCCTCGGCTAGAGTTTGAAAGTAATATATGAGCTGATTCTGGGCAAGGGCTTAACTTTAGCTGATCCGTTTCCACAAAGGAAGTTCAGGTACTAGAGTTGCCCAAACACTGCCTTTATGAGTTCCTTAGATGCTTTGCCGCAGAAAATTTTTGCGGAGCTTGAGTAACTTTCTGATCTATAGCAAATCATAATTTATTGTTGAATTTTCTTGAATTCGTCATATATTAGGTGGGTGCAAAAGTTCTTGCGCCGAATTTTCAAAAAACCATAACTTCCTTCCTTCTTGGTGGAATTTTTTACATTTATTTCTTTTTGAAAGAGAAAACCTTTTTCTTTATAGCGGTGCCTTTGCCATGAATTAGCGTTGGTAAGTTCGAGAGTTAAAAGCAATTGAAGGAAATTAGTCAAGAACGACATTTTTTAAGCTGGGATCACGAAAAATTCTGCAAGCTTGAAAACGTCACAGAACAGGCGAAAAAGTCATAAACATGGGTTTTGTGACCTCCCCTTTCTAGCTGAGCGAAAATCGTGCCAATCGGGAGCAATTTTCATTTTCGTGATTTATTCGGGTTTTCGGGTCTGCGTTTTTCACGAAAATGAAAATTGCTCCCGATTGGCACGATTTTCACCCAGCTAGAAAGGGAAGATCACAAAACCCATGTTTATGACTTTTTCGCCTATTCTGTGACGTTTTCAAGCTTTTTTGATTGTGCTCAAAAATTGCAAAACTTAAGAAATTCTCTTTAATTGCTTCTAACTCTCGATCTACTTCGTTTTAATCAATGAAAAAGGTACCACTGTAATGTGCAAAATTTTCTCTATCAAATAAGAATACTTGCAGAATTTTTCGTGAACCAGCTTGAAAAATGTCGATCTTGACTACTTTCCTTCAATTGCTGCTAGCTTTGGAAATTTCTAACGACGCTTCACAGCAAAGGTACCGTTGTAAAGGGAATGGTTTCCTCTTTCAGATGAAATTAAAATCGAGAAAATCCATGGAGTGGCAAGGAAGTTATGATTTTTTGAAAATTCGGCGCAAGAACTTTTGCACCCACCTAATACATCTGCAGGGGTCCTGTTTTTTTGAAACGATTCACAGAAATTATAAATGAGGTTGAGAAAATGCGAGATGTCAACTAGCTACTTAACTTGCGTGTGAAGAGCACCTTGTACTTCCATAATGCGAGAAAAGTAATGAGGCTTCTAGCAAAAACTGTTTATCTTATACCAATTCAAGAACTTTTTACGTGATGGCTAGGACAAAATAAAATCTGTTGTCTTATGGTTTTGCATCCAGTTTCAGTTTTTCATTAGAAATCCTGCCGTGAACTAACAATGCACTCTTCACGCACTGCACTAAATCTGTGCTGTTGCTCCAATTTCAAATAAGAACATCTTGAGATTTTGTATCTGCTTGCGCCGAATTGCAATGTTTGTTTTTGAGGAAAGGATTGGAGAGGGAACCAAATATAGCAATTGGGGGAAGAAGGCATTAGGGGTGAGAGAAAGCAGAAATTTGGTTTGTAGTGATAATGAAATTTCTAAGATGGGAGATTTGCAACAAAATCGCTCACTCTCACTCACTCACTGATTCAATGCCCATGCCAGTTAAGTGCGGTGAAGGGATTGACTGACCAAAAGAAGGCCGGGGGGGGGGGGAAATGAGCTGGATTTGTAAGTATAGGCTAACTACCCTCGTATGAAGTGAAGGTCACTCTAACCTCATACCAGACAAATAAAAAGTGTTTTCTATTTGATTTTTCTCTGAAAACTTGTACAGTCGAATCTCATATTCACATTACCGAAATTTGTGTCTTGACAGTATTATTATTATTATCTTTAATCTGTTGAGCCATCCTATATTCGTCAGTATAAAAATTTATAACAAAACTAAACGTCCTCCTGAATCAAAAGTCATAATAAGGAACAGAGAACATGAAGTGTTGTTGTTCTTTCAATGTAATTTTTCTTATCAACATAGAAGCCTACTCTGGTCAAAGAATTACTTGGTACAAATTTTTGCGCCAATTTGATCAACCGCTTCGTTATCTGTTTTCCTTTCTCTTCAAAAAAAAACGATTGATGCTTGTTGCACGTCTGTCCGCTCAAGCATTCCTACGATTATTAGCTAGTCATCGCTTTCAGTCACATGTCGAACTACGAATCCTCTTATCGAACTGAATTTTTTTGAACTTTTGCCAATTGTCTTATCACCTCAATGCATACCAAGCAAAATGGTCTTTTGCTTTTATTTTTAATCATGCTTTCCAAGTTTTCGCCCACTTTTCGAAGATGAAATTGCGACACGGGCATGTAATTGCCTTGTTGAGAAGAATTTCCAGTTTTTTGTTTTTGCAAAACCGGTTCTATTGTTGTTTTTTCATTCACAGTACCGAGCTTGAGTACACACAAGAATCGAAAAGATTCCTTCAGCGAATTCTTTTCCTCTTCCTTCCAAATCTTTTCTTTGAAAAGTGAAATACTAATGACCAGAAATTTTCACTCGTGATGGCGGACAGGTTCTTGTGTTTTTGATATCAGTACTTTGGCTGGCTGTCTTGCATATTCCATTGATTACTGTGACCTTTAGTGCATGATGAGTAATTTTTTTTACTGAATCCGTTTTATTTTCTGCTGTGTTCAGAAATCTTCACACTTCCAACTCATGCTTGAATTTTTTTAGAAGTGATTTTGCGATCGATATATGCAAGAAGAATTTTATCACAGCACATCATTCAGTTTTTAACCATCTATTTTAGCTTAACTGAGAGGTTACTGAACATCACCGATTTTATTCAAAATAGTGATTCTTTTCAACTTTATCCTATCAAAAGTTTCTGCTCTTATGCAACCGAGTGTTTTATTGGACTTTAGTAAAGTAGTATAAACAGACTTGGACTTTGTTAACAAAGTTCAGTGTAGATCACGAGACTTGAATTGCGTCAGACACAGTTTCATTGTTCCAAGAACAGACGATTGCTTGAGATATAGGTAGAATATTTTATTTTATGGCGACTCACTTTATTTTATCCCATTCTTTTTCTTGTCGATCATTGATTCTTTCATCCATTAGTTTGGACTTGCTTCATCAATACTAAGAAATTTTGTTATACTTTGGCAGAAAAATGGCCAAACTCCTATCGTTCCTGTAGTCTTATAGTTAGACAGAATAAGAAGAGAACGTCTGCAAGGAACTTTAGGACGACCAGCATTTTCTGAACACGGTCGATCATTTTTACAGGGCATTTTCGTTCTTTCGACAAACAAGATAAGGGACGAGTCATTATTCTTCCTCTCTTTATACTCCTGGACTGGTTTACCATCTAATTGCTGACTGTTTCCAGGTTGCCCGCGATCAACTACCCCCGTCTACACAAATTGCCGATACACCAAAGCCACGTCCACCACCAACTTTGGCCGATTTTCCGTCGGTCCGTCGAAGTATGCGTAGCCGAATACCGACGTCACGCAGCACTCCGGAAGCGGTTTCCACTCAACGGCAGGTACGAAAATTTGTGAAGTATCGATTTCTGTACAAATATCGAAAAGTAAACGTTGAGTCAACTTCGTAGGTGTGACGAGCAGATGTTCTTTGCAGCCAGCATTTCCCATTTTTGGTATCACTTTCGCGTTAAGCTCTCATGGATTTTATAGATTTCTTTTTGATTTCTTCTCAGCCACTCTCTTTTGCTTATGCTAGCTAAAGTTCCATTTCTTAGCGGCTCTCCTTTAAAATCTGGAATGAAGTAGTAAACAAACTCATCAATAGCTGTAAATAACGAAGAGCAGATGTGAACTAAAATGTAAACAAAGTCCGCTGTTCACTCTCGTTGGTTCATAACAGATGAAGACTCTTCGGCTTTCTCACATCTTTACGTTCAAATCTTTCTGTTAGAATCTCGGCTTCCAATCTAATTGCCCAATTTTTTCTTGAAAGTTATGCAGTTTCATTTAGTTTGAAATCTTCGGATTATGATTTGACTTTCTCGTTTATAACATTACGGTAATGAGATTAAACTTTCGCCTCCTGCAGTTTGAAAATGGAAATCGCCTAAAGAGTGCAAACCTGATTTTTTTATACCTTACTACCGTTGAAGAAAAGGTTTATGATAAAGAGAAGCTGCTAAAATAATCAAAATGTTCAATTAGAACATTTTAAGCAGCAGTCATTGAGCTCTTTCAGAATTCTACTCCAGGGGCCTCACTTTAGAAACTGAGTTTTCAAAAAAGATTACAGCTAAAATTTAATGGGCATTGATAACAATTTTATTCTACAGTGAAGTTCCTAACTTTTAGCAAAAGCAGTTTTTCGCGGGCAAGCCAAGATAGACATTTATGCAACTTTGACTATTCCCTAGTGCTTAATACATGTCTTTTTCATGGATGCTTCTGATCTAGTTCTAATTAGAACACAGAGAAAATACTAGGTCGTAATAGCAATATTTCTGACTCAGATTTCATGTCAGTTATTCTTTTGTAGGTATCCTGCCCGGATACAGTAGTGGAAAGCTGTTCGCCTCCTCAGCTCTCTAGTGGTTCACCATCTATAGTCTTACCCACTCCGACGGTCGAAGAGAAACCGTCCACAGCCGTTTCATCAGCTACAACAAGTCCGGAGAAATCGCCCGAAAAGATTTCCAAACCTCGCGGTAAGAACTAGAAACGAGCTTATCCAAGCAGAAGATTAGATCATTTTTTATCCATAGTAACGAGCTTTTAATGTTGTTCCAAACTAGCCAGCTCTTATTTCATTTTGATCGTAAAAGTGTGCTTAGGAAAGCACTTATGATGCGATCTTGCAGATTTCACTCCAATAGATGACGATTCACCATCGACTGCAACGACGGCGCAGGTTATGGAGTCGTCAATGCACTCATCCTATTACAAATCGGCATTTTCAAATCCACAAATTAGCCATAAGAAGACGAGCAGCACGGATACATTCGTTATCGTGAGTTAATCTGATTCATCTGCATACTTTCTGAAATTTATATTTCTATCCCAAGATCTGATTTATTCATTTCTAGTCCAAATTTGTTTGAGAATTGAGAATTTTTATAAGAACATATGTTATACACCCAACCTGAATTTATTTCAACTTTAGTGGACTTTTTCTCGAACGTCCTTCTTGAGTTAGAAGTTATAAGTGCTATTTTCTGAGCTTTTTATACCGGATGGACCTCAATTTGTACTTTGTGTTATTCGATATATAATGACTTCAAACTTCTACAAGCTCTCATCTTTCAGTTCAGAGTTTATATCTTTTGAAATTTTCACAAATTATCTGTCATCTTAACAATTAAAATAGGCTTCAAATTTAATAAGCTATCGTATTTCTCCATAAGTGCCTTTCACGAGCTAGAGGTTAGAATTAGGGTTTTGAAGTGAGGGTTTTTTGGGGTTTTTCTTACAGAAACAGGTATCTTGTAATTGATGTACCGATTTCGGTAAACTCCAGATTGCGCAGATTTGCTAATTCTATAAATTTGTTATTATAACGAAAAGTTTGTATGGTTGTCTTTGTACTAAAACCAGAAAGCTTCCATATCTCAATTTAATTCAATTTATAACACTACTCATACGATCGTGCCATTGCAGGCAAATATTGCATAATTAGGAAAGGTACGACCGTACATATAGTCATTGTATATAACTCGATTTAATCAGCAATTTCTCGCTTTGAAAATTCTTCCTCTCGTATTTCCTCCTTCTTTTGAAAATGATAAATTTTGAGATTCACTTCATGTCATAATTCCGTTTTATTCGTTCTTCCTTCACTCGCTTAAGGATCATAGTCATTTTCCAGTCAACTGGCGACTCACCCTCTAAACATTCGACGGTTACGGTAAACGCTATGAATTGTGTCCCATCTGTATCTACAACAACAAGCCCTAGTCACAGACGATTGATGAATACTAGGAGGCAGCATGCCAGTAAGTACTACAGATATGGTTTGTAAAAATTACAGAAGTAGAAAAATTAATTTTGTAGATGGCAATGAAGTATTCGGTTCGTTCCGTTCCGATGGAACAATCGGTGCCGATTCGCAGTGTCCAGTGGAAGAGGAACGAGAAGCGTCTCGAGAAGCAGCAAAACTCTTCAGGCTTGAAGGTTGCACTAAGGCTGATGTGGCTGAGCGGCTCAATGATAGGTACGGTATTCAAAAGAACTCGTTTCAATTTTGTTTGACAATATCATCTGGTTCAGGTCGGAATTCTCGGCCATGGTTGCCACCAAATACCTGGAATTATTCATGTTTTCTAGCCTTCGCATTGACGCTGCATTAAGAGAATTTCTATCAAGGTAACGTGCTTGTAATGCATTGATTACAAGTGAAATCTATAGCTACAGTAACCCTACAGTAATGCTACAGTATCCTGTTTTAGAGTGGAATTACGCGGTGATTCATCGGAACGTGAGCGTTTGCTACGTTTCTTTTCTATGCGTTATCATCAATGTGATCCAAGCCTTTTTGATAGTGTTGGTGAGCTATCTTTTTTTTTGAATTTTTTGAGAAATTTTCAAGTTCTGAATTGTTGATAGACGTAGATGCTCCAGTATAGCGCTAGTTGAAGTTTACCAATTTATAAATCTGTTGATTTTATTTCATTAGATCGTCATTATCGCATGGAACCTTTTGGAATCCATATTGAATTTTCTACCGTAAACCTACCATATACAACTCTCCACAATTGTCATATCTTTACAAGAAATTCTTGATAAATTTCCATTTCAGATGATGTGCACACTCTAACGTGTGCCTTATTACTGCTGAATTCTGATTTACATGGACAAAACTTGGGAAAAAAGATGACAATACGAGATTTTATCAACAATATCTCACATACTGGTGTACATTTCAAACGTGATCTACTGAAAGCTCTATACAATAGCATCAAAGAGCATGAAATTGTGCATGCCAGGTGGGTACATATCTTAGAGTCGGTTCAAAATGTATAAAATGAACACTACATCTTTCTTCCAGCAAATATGACAATCCGCCAGCGTCAAGAATGTCGTCGAAACGATCTTTTGTTTCACGTCAGGTTCGTTTACGCTATTTTTAATATTATCTTGTAAAATCCTTATTGCTGAATTGTTTTAGTTGCTCTTGGAGGTTGATCCTGAATCACAAGTCGAGTATAAATGCGGCTACATCATGCGCAAATGTCTTTATGATTCAGACGGTGCAAAAAGTGAGTTCTTCTTTTGATTTTCTTTATTGAAGTAATCAGAAGAGCATGCACCAGAAAAAGAAAACTATGTAATTGTTTTGTAAAAAGAATGTACTAGTATTTTACTCCTTGTGTGGCATGAAAATCGTCTTTAGCATTAATGGGCAATCGAATCGGGTTGTAAACTTTGGAAACTCCTTCATGCCATAGGGCAGTTTCTTCCTGAAAAGATTTTTAGGGCGGATCTTGGCCAATGGTATACGCTAGCGACATAAGTCTATTTATTTCTTCTAGTTGGGATCCTTCTCAATTTTTTTTAGCAAACTTATAATTGTGAAAATTTTCTGTAAGGAGCAGGGCTCGGCACGAGGTGGCTAGATGAAAATGCAAAAAACGAAATCCCCTTTGACTCTGGACCATGATCTCTAAAAAATCTCCAAAATACGAAACGTCGACAAAAAAAAGGTCGCAAATTGCGTGTCTTTTCGTCCACAAAAACGAAACCCACTTTGCTTTTTGTCCCAAAAACGATATTCAGCTTGCTTATAAGTCACCTATGCCGATCCCTAGTAAGGAGGTGTTTCTTCACTAACAAGTTTATTTCAATGTACTTAAATTAACCCAGTCATTTACGAACAAACTATACCGCGCAGTTCTATGATTCTTCAAGAATCTTTGCAAAAACAGTTACCTCTTATGCACAGCATCCATGGGTTGCATTTTTTCCCTCAAATATGGTAATGGCTTTTGCCATTAAAATACACCGTAATAACAATATATTGTGCAAAAACGTAAATATCCCTCCTCCCTGCCTTCATGCCCTAACACTGGTTGACTTTTGTTTCTCTTTGTTGATTCGGAACGCGCAATAAGTAGCGACTCGCCCACAGTTTTGCCTTGCGGTAACATCGTTTTATGTAGTACGATTGCGAACCATGCACAACCTTCACTTATCTGCAAGTACTGGTCAGATAATGGGTTTTCTACGAATTCTCAAGTCTTGAAACTTTAGCACCCTTTGGTCGCCGAGGCTGGAAAGAATGGTATGCTAGATTACGTGGTCTTGTGCTCTATCTTGGCCGAGATGACAGCGACAAAAAGAGAAGCAGGTACCGTAGTGCTTTCGAACTGAATTTCTATCTCGCTTATGAGCAGTATAAACAGATACGAGACCTTCAACAATGCTATTCTACTTCACCATGCGTTCGCGGAACCAGCGCCGGACTATAAAAAGAAGCAGCACATATTCCGTCTTAGGACCGCAAATTTAGGCGAATATCTGTTTCAAACCACGTAAGTCCATAGTCAAAGCTTTTAAGGATCAATTTATTTGCAAAAAATCGCGTTTTCTAGAAGTGCCTCTGAGGTGGAGGATTGGGTTATGCAGATAAACTTCGCCTGTGCGCGGTTCTCTTCCCGAGCCCTTCCGCCACCCGCGTGCTCGGGTGGTGCATTCTCGAGGACCCGGTTGCCAAAGCTGCCAAGTTCAGCACCATTGGCCCAGCAGTTAAAGGTGTGATCTGCTTTTCTTTGGGATTTCCTCACACTAAAAATGCTTTCTAAGGCTCACGAGTCTGCCGCCTGTGAACTTCGGGAACAGTTGTCGCTAGTCCGACAGGAAGCTCCGCCACTGAAGGCTAAAGGTCGACCTGTAGAAGAGTTCTTCTTCAAGGAGCGTTATTTGACGCAAGAAGTGTGTTTTTCTCATTTTTCTCAATGCCAATCAATTTGTCGATTTTTCAACAAATTTTCGAATTCAATTCCAGATTCTCCGTTACGACACCTACTGCCGCCTGTTACGATCCCGTCTGCCTGGTGGTGGTTGTGAACTTGGCGGTGCACCTTCTGATTCCACCTCTGGAGTACATTCCAAATCCGATATCGCTGATGATTTGGACAAGATGAGCTACCGTGAAGCACTAAATCATCACTGATTTTTTTATTGGCAGTGTGCCAAATTCCGTTGATTATTTATGATGTTGGTATTAGCTAGATCTTAGGGGCAAGTTTCTGAATTTTTCTGACACTCTCTCTATCCGTGGGGTCCTTTGAGTACCCAAACTGAAATGAGAAGAAGGCCAATGTTTCTTATTGATGCTTAATTTTATGTTTTGTGTTTTTCCTGGCCTTCGACTCACTTCACCTGCCAAATTTGCTGTCTGCCTATCTGAATGTGATGCTCCCCCATATATCCCATCCAAGCGATTTTTTGCTGCACGCGGAAACGCGCAGCGTATCGGACGCGCAGCGCTACGCCACTGCTCGAGAAATCGATATTCCCAACGATTTCATTCGCCTTCTTCGGTGACGATTCTCTTGCGTGGAGAATTATCGCTGCGGTGCTTGAGCAAGCGAACGGGTTCTCCACGACAATCGATATATTGATCAGTCCATCGATTTTACCAAAATTCATCGCTAACGCCTTATACAGTCTGTCGCATTCATCATTTTCCTTCCCCTTATTTTTTCTTTCGCAGTATTTCTCCTACTCGTGAATATCATACCAAATTCGTATTTGTATGCTTACGCTTACTTCCAAATTTGATCTATTTATGGTTAGCAGGCATAATCGACAAAGATGATTTACTGCTTTTAAACTTCGGGATTTCTTCTCTTTTCACCCTCCGGCTCTACCCTTTTTTTGGCCAGATAACCAGTTACATGTATAATACCAGGTGTGTTTTATTTTTATGTGCACGTGATCGACGAAATGTCTTGCTGGTTTTTGCAGAATTTCTTTTTGATTATGATAAATGCTCAATTTTTATGTGTTGTTCGTGTACGAGAGTATTTGAGCGTTTTACAGACCCCGTGCAAAAAAGTAAAACTTTGAAATAGAAGCAAAGGGTCGCGCGACCGCTAGCACCCGCTACGCATTCTGCGGCTCTATCGAGAGCGTGCTCTCTGACCATCTCCTAGCCTTAAGTAGGCCTCGAAGCCCCGTCTTCCAGCCATCAATCTCTTTGAATCAAGGGGTAATTCTTTGAAGTTTATTTGAAGGACATGAAGACTGCAGAGAACTGCTAAATTTACTACTACCAATTATAACAGAACACAGGTCAAGCCTTCGTGCATGTTACTAAAAATGCATTCTACACTGTACCTCAGAACGAGTTTTCACTGCACAGATTCACAGCGCGCCGCCAAAGCGATTTGAGCAAAGCGCAGTTGCATATTTTTTTATTCCTTCAGCCTTTTTTAACTTTATAATTCAGCCGATTGTGCGCGGCACAAATTCGTATTCAATTTTAAATCGATCTGGAACGCACCGAACGAAGCTCGAGAAGGAGACATGGTGATGAAGTATGACGTGCAAGCATACCTTCGATAGTCTAGAGACAGGGCGTCGAAAGTGAAGGTTGTTTGGGCGTCTGACCTCAAAAAAGTGAAGGTTGTGGAGGATCAGAGAAGAGAAAATGACGTAAAGCAGATATAAAAAGCAAAAGAAATCGCTGAAAACCGGATAAAAACGCTGCAATGAAATTTGAAAATTTTCATTTGGCGGCATTTTAAAGTGCAGGTTTTGGCTCCAGGACCAGCGATTCGCAACACGGGGAAAGCGAAGAAGAGCTAGTTTCTTTTTTTGTGATTGTTTCAAAAAAACATGTTTCGGAAGGAGTTACTATCAAAAAGAAGAAAAATAAGAAAGAAATTGATTATGAAAACGCAAAGTTTCTTTTCTACTAAGTCGAAAAGAACGTCGAAGCCAATTTAATTTTTAATACGTCCTTTGAATTTTCACCCGCAATGACGTTCCTGTTTCCTGGGACGTTGTCTGAATTGTTGCGCTTATTGTTCTGAGCAACAATCACCCAGGCTGGAAAAAAATCGCTGCGAAAGCATTGAAACAAAACAAGGTAAAGAAAAACGCACTTTTTTACGATTTTTCGCAAAAAACTCCACCATAATCGAAGCGATAAGGGCTGGGTGGTGTCTGCATTATGAACAGAAGCAAAATCTATAGAATGCACGAAAAAACCGCGTGAAAAGAATTAAACTAGGAGAAAAAATAAGAGATTTTTGAAAACAAGGTTTCTTGATCAAATCAAAAAATATGGTTTTGGGACGTTGTCAGCGTGAGAATAGAGATCAAGAGCTTCAAAATGATATATATCTTGCTAAAATTGGGTTCGAATCAGCGAAGAAAAGCGTATCAGAGCCAAATGCCCCGCGCCCCACATTTGAGGTAGCGAGGTAACGTGCAATGCGCGGAGACGCAGACGAGCAGCGGAGACAGACCAGAGCCGACGGGCACTCGGCTCTAGTCGTAGATCTCCGCGGGGTCTCAACGAAATTCTGCAACATTACATATCATTCTGATCGTCATGACACGAAGGAGAACTGGCAACGTCCCAAGCTTTTAAAATCACTCATTAACGAGATGAACCAACGTTTTCCTGCGCGACTCTCTGCGAAAGATTCAAGCGCAGTTTCTCGTTCTTATTCCCCACAGCTTTCCTAAACTACTGAAACTCGATTTTGGTCAATTAAGAAGTTAAATGAGAAAAGTTGCCCTGAATTTTGACGAAAATTTCGCAGAAACCTTCTTTTTAACGTAAAAAAGGCTATGAGAACGCAAATTCTAGTTTCGGTGAGATAACCTAAAGATATTATTTCCTATATTTGCTTCATTAACATTCGTTCCGATATAGTCAGGATAATAACATCCGAAGCGAAGCCCCCTTCTGTTTTTTTCCAAATGAAGGTTGTGTCCCCTCATAGCCCTCAAAGTGAAGGTTACCACAGTACGTGGCTCTATCTATCGAGGGTACTCGTGCAAGAAGTGACCAAGAAAGAGAAGTTAATGTTTAAGGAAATGAGTAATCGTGACGATGGCGCGACCGTGCGCGCGACAAGCACGCACGGTGCGACAGCCGCAAATTCTTAGATTTTATACCGAATGGCTCTTCTGCAGGAAGGGACTGAGTTGAGCGTTGAGAAGATGTCATTTTGTATGAGTGTTTTATACTCTTACCAGTGCGTCACCTCTGCTTCGCAGAGGCTCGCACTGGTTCTACTATCTAGGCCCTACTCATTCTCGCATAATGATGGCATTGAAACTCACCGAGCAATGCCTACTATCATGAACAAAATGTAAACAACTACTCATTCCGAAAGGTTTTTCATGTGAAATCGGTGATTTCGCGTGGATGAAATTTTTTTGCAGGAGAACAAAGCAAAATTTTGCACGTTTTTGATTTTCCCACAGTCTTGACAGTCGCTATAAGAAAAGTAGTCACCATAAGCTACATTTAGGTGCAAAAATCTCATCAAATGCTCTGGTAAAAGCTTGGCAAAATGACCATTTACGCAACCAATACTTTTTGGCGCCATTTTTGTAAAGTAGTGGACTTTTGATCAATTTTTTGGGCCTAAGTTCATGGTTTGCACATTTACTTGCCATAAACATCCACTAGCCTGCAAAAAGTGGAATTACGGACCCAATTTTGGGGACGAAAAGCCAGGTGGGTCCGATTGACGCGCATTTTTTGAGGGATCCGCCAAACGGATCCGCTCAAGCTTTGATATAGTGGACTCTCATGTTGGTAGCATGCGCTATGCAAAATTTGGGCTTAAGATGTTGGCTGGCAAACGTTCCACGAATTTCGTGACAGACAGACAGACACACACACAAAAACACGTAAACATCCTTAGCCCGTTATTATAAGTTATGATGACTCTTATGGGCGTAAAGACAGCAGTCAAATCGGTCGTCACGATTTTGATAGTGACCTGTACAGTTTGTGTCAATGCCTGATGAGTTTCTCTAACTTATAGTGAAATTCGCACGCCCGCTCCACAAGGGTCTCGCGCTACGCATTGATCTGATTCGATAAGCTAAGTCCGCACACGCGGCGCGAGAGCTCGCATAGCTAAAGCGTGAATTTCGTCATACGGTAGAAAAGACCAATGCGCATTGACATAGATTGTACAAAGCATGACAAAAGTTAAAAGAAGAAGAGGTGCACCAGTACCTGAATTCGTACTGTAAAGAAGAGTGTCAAAGAAGCAAAGTAAGCGTGCGTATCGACCTAAGGGTTGGGCCAGACTTCGCTGGCAAAGCGGCGTACGCGGCGCGCAGCGTACGCTTGGTATATTTCATCATGGGAGCGTACGCGGCGTACGCTGCGTACGCCGCTTTTCCAGCGCAGTCTGGCCCAACCCCAAGCTGCACCCTCGGGAAGGCGAGCAAGAGATGCACCGGATAGCAAGGAAATAAAGGCTTCAAAGGACATGAATCATTTTTACAGTGTTAAAGGCAGCGTCCTGGCAAAAAGAAGGGTGCCGGGTTCTTGTGGTGATGTTAAAGTAGACCCCCTACCTAAGCGATAACTGAAGTTCGGAGCGAAAGAGGAGGCCTACCAAGCCTGAAATTTGCTCCGAAGGCGGCCCGAATCTTACGGTAGGCTCGGACGCCGCCCGCACAGCAATATCGATTTGCAGGGCCAGAGTGCGTATAGCGCACACAGTCATGAGTGCAGGGTCCCGCAACGACTCTGCGTCTTTACCTTGCATGCAGGTCACTTGAGCTCAGACACTCGCTGTTGACTCGCGCCGGAGATCCGCCCCTTTTTGAGGGATTCGCGGGAAAGGGCGTAGACGTGCGCGAGACAATATTTTGACAGTTTTTGCGGATGGTCGCGAAAGGAAATCGGGAGATGATGAGTGACTCAGCGAGCAGTTCGCAATATCCACGCGCATTTCAAATCTCAGCTCATATTGCATCATTACAGGTTTTTTGCTACCCATTTTCAATTCGTGCATTCCATCCTCCCACCTAAGCCCTCTTCTTTCCATTATTTCATTCCAATCCAAAATTAACTTTATTTGAAATCCAATTTTGAAGCTTATTCTCTAGAAATCGAAGCTCGACTATCTCCGTGATTGTGGGATTGTGTGGAATTTGAGTTCATTACATTGCTTTAGGAACCAGCTGAGGCATTCAAGGTATTTCAAGGCATGATGATGGAGATGGAGACGTAGATGGGAGATCTACGGGCTTATGCACTGAATCCGGTAAGAGCTAAACTCCTTCCTCCAAAGGTAAGATGTCAGTGCACTTATTCCCAGTCTTCGTCGACATGACTTTCTTTTCAGAAGAAGCGTGTGATCGAGACTACGGCAAGCAGCTCTTCTGCTGTCAAGGATATAGAAAAGACCAGCCCCGACGAGTTTTGGCCGATCTGTTACTACTTTTTTCTAATTTGCTGTACTTACATATCACTATCATACCATTTGCCTTAACTCTACTCCCGCTTTTGCGTATCACTTAATTGCATTCCGAGATTCTCATTGTTTAGAAGATTACCAAGTACGCTTCTATCTCATCATGTATCTCCATATCGTGAAGCTTTAAGATAGTAAACATAGTAGTTTGACTCCCCCGAAGTTCTTATTTGATTTTCTTGCGTGGCTACATTGAACATAACTCTAACTTTAACTCATAACTCTAACATAACTACTTCAATCTTAGTGAACATTGAAATGTTCCTAAGATTGAAGTAAATTCACTATGTGCTAATGAAGTTTCCAATTAATCCTTATGTCATTTTAGAAGTAATAAATCGATTAGTTTAGACTTTGTAGAATTCATATGTATACGTGTACATATATACACACATATATATATATGTACACTTATATATACATATATATACATATATATACATATATGTACATTTATAAATATGTATATATATATAATGTATGTTTATACATACACATGTAAGTATACACATATATGTAATGTACAGCAGTAGGGATATAGCGAAATTACTAGTGCGAGATAACGCGCTCCAGTTGCGTCCGGACATCAGGATGTGTCGCCCTCGAGCTGCCGCGTATTTCCTGCAAGATGCGGGTCGCGTCAAAGCGTGGTCTCGGGCAGCATTGTTCCGACAAATAATGCTGTCTCGGGATTTCGTCGCGAGGCCGATTACTTGTGTCGCGCCTTCATTCAGCGCTTACACAAAACTTTGGGCTGCGCGAGTCAACAGCGAGTGTCTGAGAGGGGCGATTCATTGACTTCGTAGACTCCCTTTCGCGCTGCAAACTTCTGTCGTCGCTTAGTTAGGGGGTCTACTATTACATTACTACCAGAGCCAGGTATCCCCCAGTGGGACGCTGCCTTTAAGGACGAGCACGTGAGAATCTGCGAAGACCGCAAGAGATTTGAACGGTGGCCAGCGAAGCGTGCCTCTAAGAGGTACAAAAAGACATCTACCATAGTAGCTGAAACTGTACAAGGACGGTGACAAACATCAAGAGAAAGTCTTGAGCTAACTGACTGGATTTTTTTTGTTTTGTTCTTTGTATTTGTTCCTAGATATGTTCTCGTATTTTTTTGTTCTTGTTACGGCACGCCTTGTGCGTAATACATAAACATAAACGTAATCCTGCATTGTCATAACGAAGACGAAGTACGACAAGGCGACAAGCCTGGACGACGTGCCTAGCAAGTTCTGGAAAGAGTGCGGACCAGCTGGGGTAAACTGGCTAATGCAACTTCTCGAAAGTAGCCTCCAAGAAGATGCCGGGCGACTGGTGCAGCAGTACAGCATTACCGATATTGAAGAGAAAAGAGGTCGTAACTGACTGTTCCACTTACACACTCATAGGACTCATGAGCCATACACTGAAGATTTTCGAACGAGTACTGGGAATGAGACTGCGAATCATCGTAAAACTGGCTTCTCAACCAGCGTGGATTCGTGGAAGATTGGCAGTAATGCATGGCATAATATAGTGGTCACTACGTGAACACAGGTCCAGATGACCCACAAAGGTTCCATCAGTCACGTAAAAACAGCAGCAGGGTCACAGGCAAAGTTTAAATAAGTGCCGGCCTACATCAGGGCCCCTTATTTCACCGCTCCTTGTCATCAGGGTGTCATGGATGCGGTAGTCAGAGACTTCATACGGCAGCTGTGTGCACTTCCGTACGCAGATGATGTGCTTCTACTGGAAAAAGCCAGAGAAGAGCTTCAGAAGAATGTGAAAAAGCGGAAAGAACTTTTGGAGCTACTCGGACTAAACCTGATACGGCGAAGAAGGAGCATATGAAGTAAGAACTTAGGTTGGGATCATCGTTCGGAAGCATGCGACCATTTCCGTCAAGGATCTGGGAAGCGGTATCTTCGCAGATGGCAGTTCCCACGACGAGATAACCAGCAAAGTAAACACAGGCTGGATGACGTGGCGAAGCATGACAGGGGTTATGACATACCGACTGGCCTGAAGTGCCTGATATACATACCTTTTAGTAATTACCAACGACGCTTAGGGGAGCGAGGCCGACCTTGTACTCGCAACGAGGAAAGTAAGGAGCAATGGAGACGCGAATGCTCAGATGGTATAGGAGTTACCATGTTAGACCATATCAAGATGATACCATACGAAGCATGATGAAGACTGCGCCAGTCTCCAAGAAGATGCAAGAAAAACGCTTTCGATGGTATGAGCATGGGCGAAGAGAAGAAGGTCACATACGAGACTGGCCATGTCAGCAGAAGTGCCAGCAAAGAGGCTAAGAGGAAGATCTAAGTTTGAGGCTGGACAGGATCAGAGCAGGCATGATTGAATTGAGCAAGCAAGCCCTAGACCGAGGAGCATAGAAGACGTACAAGAGCGGCAGACTCCACTTAACGGGAAAAATGCAAGAACAAAAAAAAGCCGCTCCAGAAATGCTTGATCGCTTAGATAAAAGATATTCTCCAAAGAAGAAGCGTATCTATGAAACAGAGCCGTGAGAAACATTGTTTTAGAAGAAAAGAGGACCAACGCCCGAGACAAGGTTTCTCAGCTGTCTGGTTGCGCTCGCTACATGTCAAGCATGGGATGTTCCCGTGGCGATTGCGGTTGCAGCGGAGTAGCTATCGTGGTTGTTTCTGAATATATGGCAGTCGATGCTCATGGCCTTTATGCTCCGAGGAGCGGCAATCTCCTCGGAGCATAAATGCCAAATATCAAAGTAATATCAAAGTATCACAATAATTATAACCGTTTAGCATGATGTTTGTGAAACAAATAATCAAAATCAATGTTATTCAGTGAATTTGAAGCTGATATGACTGTAGCTCTAATGCCCTGCTGCCGTATACATCATCGGGCGATTAAATCTGAGTTGAAAGCGTATATCCTGTTTACAATGAGCAAGTTATATTTAACTTCGAGTACCAAAACCTTGAGGCTAAAATCTAGCTCATGATATGCTTCCAATAGAATTTTGACCTCGAGGTCGATTCGATGATGAATACGCGCACTGGTTTGAAAATGTTTCATGAGAGTTTCTTTCTCATTCGTCATTCTCTGGTTTTACAAATAGTTCCTGTCTTACAAAGGATCGGAGATTTCCACCATTCAAGATATGTTCCACTTAAAAGGATGTAATGTGCACTTAGTGTGCTAGATACGGTCTGGGCTGATGTTTTGGAGAAGTTGAAATTCTTGGTCGTGAGCTGTTTACGTTGCCGCTTGTGCAGTGCTTTAGAACCTTTTTTCATGCCCATGTGGTTAAGTATACTATACTGCCTTCAGATTGGGTCACTTTGGAATGTTCGCTAACTTTAGTTATGTGAAACAACCTTTTAATCAAACGCCTCATATACATCTAAGGAGCACCACGAAGAAAAATATTCGAAATGTATTTTATCGTACAAATGAACGATGTTGGATGTCGTGTGTTAATGACAAATTATTAGACGACACGAAAAATGAGAATTGAGCCGAGTTGGGGACACAGCGGACAGGAACAGCATAAAATGTTGAGAAAAAAGAGTAAACAATAAATCATTCTGCTTGGGGTCGCTTGATTTACTCTTCCTCCTCTTCTTCTTCCTCCTCTTCCTCTTCACCTCCTTCTTCCTCACCTGGAAAATTGCCAGTGAGAAAGGACCATCAAAATCAGAACCACAAAGTGGGTTACCTCCTTCCTCTTCGGCTTCGGGCTGCTCCTCAGCTGGTGGCGGTGGTGCGGCGGCTTCCTCCTTCACCTCTTCCTTCTTCTTCTCATCGCCAGGCTTCTTCGACCAGTCTGGCTTGTCTTCCTTCTTCTTGGTCTGGAAAGGTCAATCAATATATCGATTTTCGCCCAATATTGGTTACTGATCATAAACTCACTTTAGCCATGATGTCGTCGAGAGCATTCTCTTTCTTGACAACTTTAAGGTTTGCCCTGAAGTCTGCCTTCTCACCCTACAACCATCAAACATTGAAATATGTGGATTCAAATATCGAACAGAGGTAACAGAGGGTGTACGATAGGGAAATGGTAGGTTTAGAAGAATTTAAAAATGTTAATACCGTCCAATCGTTACCTTTACCTTCGCCTTCTCATCAGCCATCTTCTTGAATTTGTTATCATATTTGGAAACCTTTTTCAAGGTTGGCTTTACACTGAAATCTGTGCGTTTAATAAAAAGTCATGATTTTTCTTGCTAGAACTAGCTAGACATCACCACAACTTACAATTTGCCTCGCAAATCGTTGACGGCGATCGTAAGCTCATTGATTTCGGCTTCGGTTTGTGTGACGGTAAAGTTGATATCATATTTCTCCTCTTCCAACTTCTTCACCCGTTCGAACATTTCATTGTAGATCTTCTCAAGTTTATCTGGAAGCAAATATTTATTAGGGTTCATAAATAGGGAGCCAAGGGCAGTACGCATTGGGATGTACACATACTATCTCAACAATAAGTCGGACTTGTCTTAACGGCTCATTCGAAGTTATTGCTTTTTGATGTTATCTCTGTTTCCCCGTGCAGTCAAAAATAATCAATAAATCGATTTCCAATCAGTTGGCCTTCTAAGTCAAGCATGGTTTGAATAAGCGAACTATTCGCTTCGAGTTCTACGTCTATCTTCCAATATCATATCCTTCAATACATTATCAAATAAGATATGGGCGAATAAAAGCTGTAGTAACTCCAGTGTATTGCTCCAAACAATGCCAATCGATATATCGATTTTTTCGTCATGCCGTCCATAGCTGACATTCCAGCTTAATGCTAACTGCGTTTCTTCGCGCTCGGCACCTATATTACACTCAGAGGACGGTGATGGTGTATGTAAGTGTCTGTGGGGTGTATGTGGAAAAACGTCGCCTATTGCCCGATCTGCTTCGGCAGCATCGAAGCGATGCTGTAAAATTGAGCGAAAGAGCAATGCATCCAGTTGGAGAGTGGGCAACTGAACTAGTTTCCCAGTTACATTTATATAGTACAAATTATCAGATGTATGCTCTGTATACTAAACATATAAACATCGCCGTTAAATTTTGGAAGAAGAGGACCTAAAAAATCCGCAATTTTATTGTAATCTAGATCAATATATCGATTTAAAATATCAATATGCGCTTTAACTTTTCTCTGCGCTTGCTGCTAATATTTTGGAACTACCAATTTTTACAACTAAATGGAGAGGATTATTGGGAATTCTATTGCTTTTCCTTAATCTTGACATTTAAGACTTGGGGAATGTTAAGATCTTCAGTTGGCTATAAGATGATGTTAAACAACCCGTCATAATTGGACTAATGGTAAGATCTATGTAGCACATGCACAATATGAAGATTAGCATCAATTTTTTTTATGGAAAAGCTTTGTCGTAGCAGAGGGTTTTTTCTGAAAGTTATGAAGGATCAAAATCCCGACCTTCACCGTATTCTTTAAGAATCTATCTCTCTGTAAAACTTTCAGCTGGATATACAAAGAGATGAAAGACGCCTTTCTAGCTCGGCACCTCTTTTTAGTACGAACAATCACATACCCTTATCATCGATGCTGTCGACGTCTGGTAGTGGGATGATTCTTGACGCAAGTGCCTTTTGTCGTTCTTGTGCTTTCAACAATTGTTGTTGTTTCAAATCTTCGGCGGCTTTCATCATAAGAAGTTTCTATAGCAAATTTCTCTTATGTAAGTACACATACTGGAGCATATGTGGATTTTACCCTAAGTTTCTTCTTTCTTTCAGGTGTGAGGAAACCCTTCTTGGCTTTCTTCTTCTGTCCAGCTTCTTCCAGCCGCTTTCGCACTTCAGCCTTCTTACGTTCACGCTCTTCGGCCTTGCGTGCAGCATCCTGCAAATCATGAATGAAGATCATTTTTGTTCAGATATATAAACAAAATGAAAATAATACGCACATCTTTCTCCTCATCAGCCTGTGGGCCGCCGTAGCGGAGGGTCTCGTCGAAGTCCGACATCCTGAAATGAGTTGAATACTTTTAGAAATGAGTTAATGTGCAGTGCCTTAGCGTTAAACGAGTTGATAGCAATGAGGGACGGAAAGGTAGGTGGCTGCTTGCAAGCAGAAGCTGAACAGCTGTTCAGAAAATTATGCGCTTGTTGCTACGTGCAATAGCGAAAAATTCTAAACAAAACTGGAGCGCATAGGTAACGAAAAAAGAGGTAATTAATAAAATCAGCTGAGCTTGGATTAAAAAAAACGACTGATATGTATCTCTGAATCTTTGGTCTAATAGCTACATGCGCCCATGTGGCCTTCTGATTTATGAAGCAAAAAGAAATCTAAAAAAATTGAAACCTGAAACTGTTAATCATGATACGATAAAGGTACCATTTACAAAATTTTTCTAAAAGTCTTTAAATCTTACAACAATTTCTAGAAAGCGTAACAACCGCAAACTTTTCTGACCGTTAGAAAACCTGCTTCAGGTCCTTGCTACCTTACTTCTTGAAATTGTAACCACAAACTTTATGAAAAATTTCGCTTCCTATTAATGAATAACATGTGTTTTTGTTTTCGATTTTCAACTAATTCTTCTCAGTGCCTGCGTCATCACTGTAAGAGAAGCGCCAATACGTGGGAGAGCTTCGAGAACAGCTGTCATAGCAGTGGCTAGCAAAGTGTCAAAAATCTTGTTGATAACGTTTGCGTGGGTTTTGCGAAATTTACCAGCGGTCAAGCTGCTACTTTTATTTTTTTTCTTATGTGGGACCTATAAAAATACTGAAAGCAATCAGCTCTTTTACATTGGAAAACTTCCCTTCTTTTCCTATAAAACTCGTACTTTTATCACTTTTGAAAAATCTTTAACTGAAAGGCTTCGTTTCGCTCTATATTGTTCCTCCATAAAGTAGAGAAAAATCCAGAAAGACTCCCGAAAGACACCTGTCTCTGGGTGATGCGTATGTACGGAAACATATGCTCACTCCCACCAGTTCGAGATTTGAGGGAGAAAATCTGTATCAAAATCTGTAAACGGAGAATGATGATCAAGTTGAATTAAGGATCAAATCTGCCCAAGGACATAGAATCAAGTGCGTATAAGAACTAGCTAATTTTTTCGACTGATTTATCAGTGGATCTGGTGCAAAAAAAGACAGCAAAAACCTAATGTAGCACAGAGAGTTAATAATTTTTGCGTATCCTACTTTCTTTACGCTACTTTATTCCCGACCATGTAACTACTTTAAAGCGCCAATCCCATATATTTACATATCTCTGGTTGTGAAATACAGTTCTTGAGCTTTTTTGAACTTTTCAGGCTGGGCATTTGGTCAGAGCTGATTTTTCAGCAATGACTGAAGTTGCAAGAACGCAATGAGAAACTCTTCAGATGAGGCAAAGGTTTCTTGCTAGATTTGGAAGCGGACCAAGATGGATGAGTGAATAACAACTAGGTACCACATTTCAGCAAAGGAAACGTTCAATATTAATTTGAGAAGGATTTTGAATATAAACAAATAGCCTAGCATTGGAACAGCAAGTTTCTATTAGTTGGAGCTCTATATTGTTGTATGCAGCGGTGGGAGGTTATGAGAGCGCTGGGATCTGCTGGTGCGACGACGACGATGTGCTGCTTCGATGCTGTAAAGCGAAGGCTGTGCCGGCCCACGCACTAGGAATAGGCCCCGAGTCCCGGCCGGGAATCACCCGAAGCTATCAAGAAAGTGGTCATCAGAAAATATTGCAAACTTGTAGTGTTCTATAAAACTAGAGAACAAATGCGACAGGGCACTAAAACACCACTTATACCTATACAATATCGAAGAAATTTGCTCGGAGATTTTCGACAGCAAGAAGCAATGGCAACAAATCAATCTTTAAAATAAATGTTACAAATGAATGCCTAATGCCTATCCTGCAAAGAAAACAACTTTTGCTAGTGAAATAATACTAAGCAAAAGTTTGAAAAGCAGATATGCCGTTTCTAATTCATCACTGTTCCTACTGACGAGTATAACGCACTTGTCTCACTAACTTACCTCAAAAACCAAATGAAATGAACTTGTCCCTGCATCCAACATTACGTTTCGTCAGATAAATTGCGAAAAATTTCGCGCTTCTTTTACTTGCGCCTTGAACCTGTGGTTCCCGGTCTATGTTCATTATGTGCTGTGCGACTCTCTAAACGAAGTTATCGACTCTTTTCCATATTAATTACACAAGACCTGGGGTCACTAGTCCAGGCTTTTTAGATTCTTACATACCGTAGACAGTTTTCTCCTGAGCTTACAAAGCTTTATCCAATTGGGACGCTCTTTTGCATTGCGTAAGTTAACATTCAAACGATATTGGTGAACTCTGTCATCAAAACAGTGCAAGTTTTGTTGGCAAAAAATGTTCATAACTTCTTTTGGAAGAGCCACTGCAGATACCGAAAGCAGATTTGGAATCAGCGCTTCGCGATCATTCACTGTTATCTATTAGGTTCCATTTTGAAAGGCCAGTTTCTAGCAACTTTGTTTTGCAATGAAATGCAAAGTTGACCGTTGTCTTTCGAAGTTGCCTGCTGTGCTTTAAAAAGTCATTTTAGTCATTTAATTAACATTCAAAATATTCAGCGCATTAGTGTCACTGAGGTAAAATATATATATAGGCTTGGAAAATGGTGCTGATTCTCGATCCATTCACTCTCGCTTCTTTTCATGATTTGGGCTAAATCTTTGAATATAAGAAAACTCAGCAAATGACTGGCTGAATTTTTCAAAGTTTTCTTCCAAACAAAAATTCAAAATTTCAGAAGCTGCGTCTGAGGAAAAAATTTTTATAAAACACGCTGCATGAACCGCAGCCGGTCGACTTTGCTCCAAGGCTTTGAAAACCTTCAACGCTTAACCTTTGTTTACAATATATACTGTGGAAGCCCTATTGCTCTTTTACAATGCTGCTGACAAGATGGAGCTCACCTTTTCCCTTCGATCCCGTGCTAATGAATGAAGCAGGTGAACTGATGAATGACGAGAAGGAAAGCTTGCTCAACTTTGAACAGCAAATCTAGCATACATTTATTTGCAAACGAGCAGAGAATGGGCTATTTGATGGTATTGTATTATTGTGTGGCTGCTATCTCATCAGTATCATTTATCTATTCGCTTTACCTTATTTTAAAAGTGGCCACACCACAAATGCTACCGTACACTCGCTTCCAACTCTTCATACAGGTGAATCTAAACCACCGAAAGTGCGAGGTATTTCCTTTGTGTGATAGATATGCACTTTCATGGAAACAATTCACTGGACATTGTTGGCGGCTCCGGTGCCGTTATTGCCCATTTTTGGTTTTAGATTTGGTGGAATCTTAGGCGCACCTCCGCAATTTATAATAGTAAGTCATTTAACTTTTAACGCCAGTATTTGCTAGAAATACAAAGATTTCATGGTATATTCATGGTGATACATTCCTCGGTGGATAGCGCTCTTGGCTGCGCGTTACTCTATAGATACAAGCTCTGCTTGGTCAATACTCGATGGGAATTTTCCACGATAACACTTATTCAATTCATAATCGTGATTACTTTTGCTATAATCGCTGTCCTAACACCGCTTTCCATTCTGTCGTTCAGGTATAACACCATAGCGGAACTTTTCTCTGTGGTAAGTGTACTCTTCAATTTTTCAATAGATATCTGGAATTAATATCAAATTTCATTGGTTGTGACAAATTCCATGGAGTTCTCCACTTTTGGTTGCTTTGGCTTCCATCCAACTAGGGGTGCAAATGCGGTGACAAAATTCTCGTTTGAGGGACTAGTTTTATACCCTTCTGTATGAAAGATTAAAAACGGTGGTTTTAGCGCTTATTCACATATTCGGGCGTCATAAAGATGTGAATGCATACAGGTTATCCCAAAAGCATTTAAGCATAACTTTGCAGCGCTCTAACTGTGTTAGTACTGTTCATATTTATTTTTATACAAGTCAAGTTTTGCGAATGAACTTGCCGTAAACATGTCAACAACTTTACAAAAAAATTACGCTGCTTGCAGCATGCATTTTCAGACATTGTTTCTTGAAACAAACCTACGATTTTGAGGTTGAATCTAGGCTGAAGAGTACCCAGTGTTTAAACCTCTATAACTTTTTTGTCTTAGTAATTTTCGCTGGTCTTCCTCAGACAACGGATTGTCTTAGTAATTTTCGCTGGTCTTCCTCAGACAACGGACCGATCCATCCGGGAGACTTTTTCGGTACCGACCGTCTTTCCAGCGGTGGTATGGAACTCGTGCCCCAGAACCCACCGAACTTGGGCCCGGAAGTCTCCAAAGCCTATACTGGCATACTGTAGCTAGTCTTAATTAAGCTCTACATCCTAATCATGCTCCTAAACCCCACCCAAATTAGCTCCAGACACTAAATCCGACTTAAAAATGGTTTTTTTTTGAAGACAGAACCACTACTGGAATTATACTCAGGGTTGAGCAAAAGGTCAGGCACGGACCGGCCGAAACGGACTCCCGCCCCCTAGTCTATACAGAATGTCCCAAAAGTAAGTACACACTTTTTAATCGTTGATATCTCTCTTCCCTTGGATCTTTTTTCGTCATTTGAGCAACATTCTGTAGAAGAGGCTTCAACTTAGAGGGAGAGTATGGAACGAATCACTAATCTTTCTTCATTACTGTAGAATTACTGTAGGAACTTCGAAGAGGATTTTAGGCCATTGGAGGCCATATTCTGCCTCGGAACAGAACCTAACAAGCCATATACTCTTATACTATGGTAATGGAAGCGCAGATTTCGAATGTGTAACTTCCACTCTACTGTAATGCTTCTTTCCAAAGTTATCTTAGGTAAACCGTGACATCCGAATTCCCAGTATTTGTCAGAAATGTGATTACACGATCAAAAAAGCCGAAAACACTTGTAAAAAGTTGTGCAGTGGAATCAGCGTGCGCGAAAACCCTAGTGCACGATTTTTCAGATTATTTGAAAAAAATTTGTCAGATGGCATATTTCACAATGGTTCCACATGCTGGAAGTTCTTACCTTAATCCTACAGTTACGAAGAGAGATCGGAGATCCGCTCGATACTGTAAATCTAAGTTAAAGCCTCCTTTACAGAATGGTACTTGACGGCAAAACCCATTGGGAAGAGAGATATTGATGATTGAAAAGTGTGCACTTACTTTTGGACACCCTGTAGTTTGACCCTCCCCTTTCCCCTTTTATCCCCTCACCCCCTTTTTTTGCAAATGTAAACAAAAATCACGTATGTGACGTGAACAACCAACGAGGAAGAGAACAAGGACAACGCTGACTAGTGAGCAAGACGGATGACGTGGAGCTAGTCTATCATTACTTATAATAACGGGCTAAGGATGTTTACGTGACTTTGTGTGTGTGTGAGTGTGTCTGTTACGAAATTCGTAGAGCGCGTTCCAGCCAACCTCCTGGGCTCAAATTTTACACAGTGCATGCTATCCGCATAAAAGTCCAACATGCAAAAGCACGAGCAGATTCGTTTAGTGGATCCCTCAGAAACTGCGAGTCAAACGGATCCACTTTGCATTTGAGCCGCAAAATTGGGTCCGTAATTCCACTTTTTGTAGAGTTGTGAATGTTTTTGGCAAGTAAATGTGCAAGCCGTTAACTTAGGCCCAAAAAAGTGATCAAAACTCCATTACTTTGCAAAAACGGAGCCAAAAGGTATTGGTTGCCTAAACGGTCAATTCGCCAAGGTTTTACCAGAGCTTTTGACGAGATTTTTGCACAAGGATGTAGCTCACGGTGACTGCTGTTCTTATTGCAATTGTCAAGACCACGGTAAAATCAAAAACCTATGAAAATTTGCGTTTGTTTTCCTGCAAAAAGTCTCATCCACGCGAAATCACCGATTTCACATAATAAAGCTTTCGGAATGAGTGGTTGTTTACATTTTGTTCGTGATAGTCGGCATTGCTCGGTGAGTTCCAATGCCATCATTGTGCGAGAACGAGTAGGGCCTAGATAGTGGAGCCGGTGCGAGCCTCTGCGAAGCAGAGGTGACGCACTGGTAATATGATAATTAACCAATTATCAAATTGTACAACTCTCCACGTCTCCATTCATTAGTGTGTAGGATTACTATAAATTTTTATTTTACTGTCCTGCCACTGGGAGCAAAAGTTTTCGGAAGCAATAACCCGAAAACGCTGAAACTCATATCAAATCAGTCGGAGTCGCTGAGGCTGATTATGACGCTTGCTTTTTTGAACCAAAGCATTGTCTGATAGTTACGCCGGTTACGCCATAATTGCTTTTTTGTTGATACCCTTAAAAAGTTGCCTGCAAGCTTTCGACCGTTTTGGAAAATCTTGGAAGAGTAATTTTCAGATTAGAGTGTTTAATTGGGTCGGAATCAACTGACTCTTTCGTGTGCCTCAATGGGTGCATTTCTCGAGGTTTTGTGGGCCTTTACAGAGAACAGTGAAATTCGACTTATGAGTTTACACGGGTGTTTTGAGCGTATGAATAAGTCGTTTATCAAATTTCGTCTGTACGTGTTGGTTCGCTTCTTAGCTGAGATCATAGAGGCTTGAAGGCTTCTGGGACACCCTGCATGTTATTCCCAAGGTCATTAGGTTTGCTTTTTGTAATAAAGGGCAATAAGCTACTAAGGCTCATATGCTAACACACTAACTGGCATATTCGGTTCCGCCCGACCCTTCAGAACACCATGATAAAAGTCATTACCTCTTGCTGCAAAACATTCTCCTGTTCCGGACCAATTCTAGTACGCGCCACTTCCTTAAATCGTTTTGTTTTTTGATCAGCATGTTCATTACCCCCTGAGCCAACTACTTGCTTCACTCAAACTTTGCATGAAAACGATAAAATTGATAAGAGAAATCAAGTAATTTAAGAAAACTACTATTATATTCGTAATTAGCATGCTCGCTTACCCCCTATGCCGACTCCCAGCCCCAGCTCAAACCTTGCAAAAAGTCTTGAAAGTGATAAGAGCGATATCGCTTCAAGTTATGTGTGCAAGGTTGTCGGGTTTGGTTCGGAAATAAAATCTTTATTCGAAGCATACTACAGACAAAGAAACACACGCAGACATACAAACAGACATTCAGCTTTATAGACGAGATGTATGCCGAACATTACAATATCGTCTTTATGGTCATATGCATTCCACCATTTTGCTGCTTCACTGTTCATTACAGATCGGACTAGCGCTTCATATTGACGACGATATTGTAATGGGTGGTGGTCCCATGGCGTATCCCTGGCTTGCTACATTAGCAACTGCGGTGTCTTTAATTTCTCTTGTTTTCACTTCCATCATCAAACACACGCTGGTTCTCCTCAACGATGATTCGAAATTCGACCGATCGGCAAAGAATGAACATCGCAATGCTTTGCTTGGTCTCATCATCCAGGTAGGGGTCACACAAGTATTCAAATTGCCAAAGAAATGGTAGAGATGGATAGAAAATACTCCAAAAATGTTTTTACATTGTTGGATCTAATAACCCTCCTGTATGAAGAGTTTACATGGCCACTCGAACCTCATTTTGTGAAACTGACTTTATAGATCTAAAGTATGGACCGACTTATCAGCGACTCATGAAAGAAGCGTTACGCTAGAGTAAATACGTTCAGATATATTGTGTCTGATTAGCCTAATGTAAAAGTTTTACGGTTGGTTGATTTGCTTTCTGAGGCAAAATCGAGCCAAATCTTCTTAAATGTTCCTATTTTAACATTAAAGTTGCGGAGAGCAATCAATGATTCGCTCCATATTGTAAATCTAACAATATAGTGTCTGTCAAACCGCGAAAGCTCTTCGTACCAGAGAGAGTTATGAAAGATCAATGTTCAACACATTTCCGTGTACCTTTCGGTAACCAAATTCTATTTTTGTAACGGGTAAGGGGACCGATTTCACTAAAGTTGTTGATTTCAGGCTATCGCTGTGTGGTCAACCACAGTAGTACCGGTGATCATGCTCTGTCATGCAATATATTTTCCTCCAAGCTCGTTGATTTTTCCGTCTAGTGAGTTTCCAAACATATAATGACAGATCATAGAATTGTTACAGACTATGCGTCATGCGCGGCGCTCATATTTTCTCTCAAATCTTTCAACGTAACATTTTCGATGATTTATACTACGAAAGCCTATAGGTATGTGGAGTTTTTATCTGTGTATACATTAATGCATGTGTACTTTTTACATAAGCTATCATTTACACCTTCTACTGTTGTAGATTTAATGATTTACGTTCCGTTTTCAGAAGCCACTTCAGAAGTATCACGAGTAACAGATCGCACCGAGTTAAAAGGATCGTTCCTACAAGCAAACCCTAGGATGTTATCAATGACATCGGCTCAATGGACGATTCCTCATAAATTTTCTACAAAGGCGTGCCATTGTTTTTTCGCTGGCGTATTATACGTCTGTATCCAGAAAAGCATAAATTGTAGACGACGTAATCTTATGAGGAGAAAACAAAAATCATCTGCAGAAGAATTGTATGAAGGATCCACATACAAGGCTGTTGTAATTAAAACAGTTGTATAAGTTTGTAATTTGATTCAAACAAACCTTCCAACGTATCTGCTGAGCAAGAGAAAAAGCAGCAGAGGGCGCATAATGACAGAGAAGATGTGAACATTTCCGAGACATCGCAGTCACATATACTTACCAAATCTAATTAGCTTCTTCTTCAGTCATGAGTTGTCTCAAATGAAGATAGAAATCACTACAGCCTAGTCTCCAAAATGGTCTCATGCTGTGTAGTTTTATAAACTCTCAGATGTGAAATCATAATCAAGAATCTCTGCTAAAATTCCATCTGGAAATTGCTCATCATCAGCAATCTCACAGAAGGGCATCTATCAGAAACGCTTCAAAGTTTCTTTGTAATTAGGAACATTTTCATGCGGGTGGTTAATCACAGGTCAGGGCCCGGCAGGAGGTGGCATTTCAGAATTTTGAAAACGATATCCCCTTTGAAGCCAAAATTCCTTACGACTTCCCTTTTGACCCTATTTTTGACCCCCGTAAGTCTCTGACAGTCCCGAAGTGCAAGCTGGTCGGCATGCAATGAACTCGTAACAGTTGTCTTGTCGCGATTGAATCGCGACGATCGCATCGCGTAAACTCTGTCGAGTAAGGGATCGTCCAGACCAGAGACACATTGAAAATATGGGTCTCGCTGATCCACAAAAATATTGGAGGCAATGAAGGAAAACACACAAACAAAAAGCAAAAAACTACAAATGTACAAAAACGAATGCAAAAATTCGATGTCATGTAACATATTTGCATAAATGCACATTCCACCTACCTGAGATAGTCCGAATGAGCCGCAAATTGGTGAACTAAGTGCGACGTTCTGTAGTCGAAAATTCTGACATGCATGTCATCTGGGCCGGTAACAATCCAATTTCTGCGTGAAATAAACTTGGCAGCGCGCACTGGCAAATCACATATCTGAAGAATGCGCAAGATACTGGATTGAAACATAGTAAGCAACATAAGGCCCCAGCCAGACTTCAACTAAACAGCCCAGAACCGCTCAAAAAACCAAAGGCCCGTTTTCACGACGCATACGTACAAGGAACACCTGGCAACGCTTAACTATTTGCGGGTAGGAACTCATTCTTGGATGAGCTATCTTGAGCGAAGTCTGGCCGGGGCCTAACATACAAAAATACATGAAAATTCAAATAAATAAACCTACTTTGAAAGATTTCAGAAGCAGCTGACTCTCGTAATTCCATATCTGAACGATTCCACTGTAAAGAGCTGCCAATAGCCACGTTTCCGTGGGATGAAGATCCACCGACTTTACTCGAAGGAAAACGACGAAAACAAACGGCCCAAAAGAGCGAAAGTACGGAGAAATCGACCATATTGCGAAAACTGAAGAAACACAATCACAAAAACAACTTTTTGCATAGAACATCACGACCAAATATGATCTCTGGCCCTTCTGAGCCCTTGTAGGGCTTGTCGAAGAAGCAATCTATTTAAAAACTGTGAAGATTGCTTCAATCAGCGATCACCAATTAAGCAAAAAGTCAAATTCTCGAAGATTCCGCGTCGTCCGAGCAAGGTGCACCGATTGCGATTGGAGCGCGCTTTCCGAGGCCGATCATAACGCTGTGTACCCTATTTAGGGCTGTATCGAAGCGGTGCCTTGGTGGTTTTGGAAGCGGATTTGAACATATAGTAATACTCTCGCCTAGTCCACATTTATGTAGAGAAATCTGGGAAATTATGTGAAGGGAAGCAGGGAGCCACCCCAGGTGGCTCCCAGGTGGCGCGGGAGCCACCTAATTTCGAAAAACGCTTACCATTTTTAAAATTCACATAAGTTTCTCATAATTCTTCATACTTTTTTTGTGCTTATGGTCCTCCAACTATACAGCAAATTTGGTGCCATATCGTTACTTGTGCATTGAAAACGAGCCTATTTTGTTATTTCCCTCTCACAAGAATTACGATTTAAACTCCCGCCTGCGGGCAGGCTAGCGATCGGAGCACAGAATCTTCACATTGCTGGAATCTACATAAGTTCATAGGACAGTAGCATCAACAAGGAATGATGAATAAAGAATGATATGTGCATTGTTTATCGGTAAACAAAGGGGAAGTCGTATTTTGGGGTCCGGGGCGGAGCCCCGGACCCCAAAATACGACTTCCCCTTTGCTTTTTCGGACCAAAAACGATATCCAGCTTGTGAAAGCGCCACCCCCGCCGGGCCCTGTCACAGGTCAAACAACATTTTGTGTGCTTCGCAAATTATGAGTACCTAGAAGGCAGGTGAAATCAAAGAAAAGCTAAGTGTTGGTTTCCCCCGTGTAAACGAAGGTGCAAATACGGCACCACAATGAGCTATCTTATGATAATGTACTACTGTGTCGCTGGTATCTCTGCCCTATTTCTTATTTACTCACTATACCTGATCTTTGGAGTATCTACACCACAAATGGTTCCATACATCTACTACTTGCTGACAATACAAGTGAGCGATTACGAAAAGTAGGCGCTGTCTAAGGATTAGTTTTGAGGCTTGCGCTTTCCTGGAATCACTATACTGGACAGTGTTTATGGCACCGATAATAAAGCTACCTATATTTGGCATAGAACTCGGCGGTATAGTCTGGATGCTATTCAGAATTCCCTCGCAATATATATTTGTGAGTTCTTGTGGGCATTAGAACTCAACTGAAATATAATTTGTCTTTTATGGCTTTTCAACTCTGCTACATTGTTTCGTAGACAGCTCATTTGCTTGGGCGTTCATGTACAGATATCGGCTATGCCTCTTCAATTCGCGTTGGGAGTTCTCCTCTAAAACACAGCACGCGATCATGGCCGTGGGCTGTATTATGGCTAACGTTGTCTGCACTCCTGCATCAATTTGGGCATTCAAGAATAATGAAGAAAGCAAACGCGAGGCCTTCGCGGTGGGTTTGCGAAACACAAGGTGATATCTCCATTAATAGCGATATGATCTGTCTCAATCAATATATCCTTAAACAGCACATCTCTTCGACATCTCCTCGCGCGGGGAATTTATCGGCGTGCCTCTAGCAGCCGACTTGGCTTATACATCGGAGCTCAGCTTGCTCTGTGAGGATGTATAGCTGCGTGAAAAAGGGACCATTTACAAGTTGCAAACGCTAACAGCCATGGGCCTATCCCATCGCGAGTTACGGTTATTGGCAATGAGTATTGTCGAAAGGTGCGCTTCTTTACAGTCTGGGACCAAGTTTCTCGCCGATGCAATCACCATCGACTTTGCCTGCAGTACCCTTCCCATCTTTGATCTTTGAGCCCCAAAAACCAGGGTCAAGTTTGAGGTGTCTGGGGGTCGTATTGAGAAGTCAAAAAGGCAAGAAATCGTAGCTAAGTAATACCGATAGTAGTGATAACTTGTTATGTTTTAAGGTAAGAATGGGGTGTGGCACAACCCGTTAACTATGTCACAAAAATATTTTTAGCGAACAGTATTCATATGCGTAGCCTAAACCTCGTAGATTTCTCAGAAGTGGTTTAAGCGCAATCATCTTCTTTGCTCTGAGTGATATTTGGTGAAAGTAGCCATCAAAACAAAATGAGAGAAAGGCATTTATGCAGGCATCGAAAGTCGCGTCATCAAAATGCAGAGTTTGACTTCTCCGGTCAATTCTGTCACGAGGCTGATGTGGCAGCCTGGAAAGCCTTGGAAGAGTGCTTTTTCATTAGAAATTCCCAAATGAACAGAAAAGAGGCATAGCCGTAACAAACAAACTCGCTCCATTTCTAGAGTTATGTCGCATCTGACTCTATCAGAGTAGCCCAAGCTCCGCATTCTATCCCTAGCTCCCAGCTGTAAGTGGTGGTATAGTGGTGTCATATGCATTCCCTAATTTCTAACCCTTAGGATGCCGCATAAGACGCTTTGTGTGAACTGCTTTAGAAAATATAAAGCCAGAGTCGCATATAGTACCGTTTATAGGTGTGCATTTTGAGCCAAAAACGCCAAATGCATAGACTAACGTAGCGAATTTGCAAGCCCACCGTTTAGCAAAAGGACAGTTTCACAAGACCACTAATCTTTGAACCTTATGCTTGCAAAATGCTTCCGCTTGGACGTAAATATTTGTGGTGCGTATCTGCACACTCAATCAAAATTTCCTGAACTGGCTTGTTTTTCAGCTCAACTCTTCGCTTACATTCGACGATAGTTTTGTAGTGAGCGGAGGTCCCACCACTTTACTTTGGCTTGGATTTCTGCTCGGTGGTTCGACTGTAGCTCTTGTCGCTCTCACTATCATAATCAAGCATGTTTCAATTATTCTCAAAGATCATGCAAAGTTTAGCCAGACCTCCAGAGATATGCATCGAAGTGCTATTACTGGCCTCGTCATTCAGGTAAGTAACGAATGAGTGGGAATTTTTCATTTCAAGCCAAATTCTGCGTTCATAGCTAAAGCTTTGAAGAGCGAAACTTATCTATCATTATCAAAACTGTCCAATTTTCAAACTCAATCCATTGCAGGCTGTTGCTGTAACGTCATCCACTGTAGTGCCTATGTTCATGCTATGCCACATTCTCCTTCTTCCTCCATCATCAGCAACATTCATATCCCGTGAGAAGTTTGGTCTCGAAGCATATATCCAACTGTACATTCGAAGTAACATTGCAGATTATGCAACATGCTCGACGTTGTTGTTTTCTTTGAAATCTTTCAACTCAAGTATATCGATGATACTTACCACAAAACCATACAGGTAAGCTAAGACGTCTAGGTATGACAACTTAAAGGAAGAAAGAGTCTGAGTACCGAAAAGAAAGTAGTGAATACACAATATTGTAACATCTATCGAGTGTAAGCAGATTCGCGCGATAGTTATTTTCCATTGCTATATGTAAGGAAATTGCCCACCTAATGCCTATCTAAAATAGGCAAAACTTTTATTCCACATATTTTTTCCAAAATTACTAAATGGCCTAACCTAGGGCTTATAAACAGTAACATTTTGGTTCCAAAACTTTTACTCTCCTTCTTGTTAGGGTGCGGAATACCAACGACACCGGTCTTTTTGAGGAAGAAAGCGCGCTCCAACCGAACAACCTTAGCAGCTGGCGGGATCAAGTCCGAAATTGCAGACGTCATTAGTGGCAAAGGCGAAATCGTTTTACTGATGTTTATATGCCATCCTCGTGCTGGGTACTGTTGCCAATCTTTTTACTGAAAACTTTCCACTACTGAGAATTGGAAAAATAATTCGTTTACAACGCGCTAGCGATTGACTTTGAAACTTGTTGTACGAATGCGGGGCAAAGTGTTAAATCACATGGAAAGCTTATGTGAATAATTGTCCAACTTTTTTTTCCATGTTAGAGTGGCAAGTCACCTTAAAGCCACCTTAACGGTGGCACAACTTACACTTCATAATTTTTTTTATAACTTTTACATAAATTTATTTTATACCGAAGTTTACCATACAGTGGTATTTTTTCTTCGGTTTCTCCTCTTCTCCTCTATTTAAAGTCCAAAATGGCATTGACCCGGTCTATGGAAGTTGTGAAACCAGAACGTGTCAAGGGCGAAATCATTAAGATGTCCATTTGTCACCCTCGTTCCAGGCTCTGTAGTAGATCTGCTCGCTTGCTCCTAATTTACAACAATCTGAAAGCTTTCAAGTTAATTAAAGGCAGGTCCACCCAAATTCCACTTCATCCTAATTAACATATAGTTGCCAAGCTGGCCCAAGGAGTATCCGATCTGCGTTAATCCGATCCTTTGATATGGCCTCTAAAGGGAGATAAGAGCATGTGATACGTATCACAAACCGCTCCTGGCATCACGAACCTCTGTAAGAGGACGAGTGCTCACGCAAGTGCTGCAACTTCACCTATGCAGTTGCAAGCTTTCCCCGCTGGCAAGCCGAGGGGAATGAACAACCCGAGACTCGTCCGTGCCCTCAAGACAGGGTCCCCAGGAATCGGGTTTTTTGAGGGTTTTGGACAGTTTGAACTTTATAACTGTAATCAGGGCCACGGAAAGCCCCAGAATGGCAAAAACATGGGAGGCGTAATTTTGGGTTGACGCTGCCTTCAAGCGAAAAAAAAAGTTTAAAAAACAGGAACGGGTTTCGGAACTTCAAAATCTGCTAAAAGATGGAACGACCTAATCTTGTAACAAACATTCTATGAATCTTCGGGAAATCACAAGTGAGAAAATTTGGTGAAGCGAGTTTACTGCACCTTGGACTGTTAGTTTTTATTAGCTTTGATGGTACATTTTCCAACTTTGATTATTCACGAGAACAATGCTTTGAAAGTTTTTGGATGATGTGTAGCGCGCTCAACGAATATGCCAGCACTATCATAGGAGGGGTTATTTCAATATGATTGCCAATGCGAGCGTTAAATAAAAAATTTTAACTTTCTAGTGAGGGAACAACCAAGCAAAGCACATTACCAAAGCTATCCAGCTGAAGAGCATGCGCAATTTATCTGCGCATCTCGAATCCAAAGATGTGATTTGTAAGTAAGCCTTAGCCTTGGATGAATGGGGAAAGTCTCTGAACGAATGTTAAGTAGCTTTTATTCAAGGATAGGATCTTCCAAGTACCTAGGAACCAACAGTCATTCCTAATTTTTTGGTGATAGTCTGCATGAAAGTGTTTCAGTCTAGGAAATCTGGTTTCAGGGAACATTTTGCGACAGTCACAGGTTTGAACTTCATATTATCTCGCTATTCTGTTGGCAAAGTATTGCCCAAAATCAAAGAACCGACACTGGTTAGTAGTTCTGCCGTCGTGAATTCAAATAATCAGCTGTGAAAAATATCGAATTCAATAAAGTTTTATCAACAGGATGTCTTCCATGAAACAAACAAAAACAATGTTAAAAGGTGAATCATACTAAAAGCAAGCATATTCGAAATTCAGATATCAAGCACTACAGCTGATTAGCGCTGAGATCACTTGCGGAATGATCGTGGGGTACAATTTGGAGTAGTGGCAATGGGTCATCCGTACACGTGACTAGTCATAAGGCATTTAAAAATTAGGTGAAGAGTAGTTATCAATAGAGACTACTACCACATGAGTGAGCGATTCACCATCAGAATAATTGATTTTCTGGTGTAAAATCTTCGAAGTCGCCGAACCACCTTTGTTTGCACAAAGGAATGTTTTCTACCTTTATTCTCTCCTGAGCAGTGCAGTGAACTGTCCAAGTGTCGAATGCACGGAAATTTCTTGATTGGATCGACGCCAAAATCTCTGCTTTCGCGACTGATTACTATATGTATATATTTTATGATGGCGTAAGTTCAAACCTTCAAGTTCTATCTGGCTTCAGTTCAAGGAAGCGTTCTGTTTTGTTTAGCTCCAGAGCCGTTTAAGTAACTAGTTGCTCCCCGTCGACTATGTGGATTTGATCCATGGAGAAATTGTCCAACCATCTTTTCATGTGATTGTGATAGACTCCGATTCGTACTGCAACCAATCCAACGTTGACGCCACCGATTTCAAGGAGCATTTTGTTCGAAGCCATGGTGCAATTGCCAATGGCCATCTCCTCAAAAGATGGCATCATTGCTGGCGCTCTTCGCTTCGATGAGGCTTGCGTATAATCTTCCACTTCTTTGAACATTGGCATTTCTTCAAGCTTCGCTTTAGTTTGTGTATAATCTGGTTACTGCATAGAGCTAAAGATCCAATTCGAAAATTTCTAACTGAAATTGCCCTCATCCTCGCATTACTATGATAATTTTCATTGCTGGATTGGGAATTCATATACGTCCAGCAGCGGTTCTGCTGTGGGAATAGAACCTTCTCGATCCTGAGCTGTTTTCGCATGGTTAATGGCGTCCTCCCTTTGAAATACTTTGTTCTAAGGTCTAGTTAGAAAAAGTTTTGTCGCATAAAAATCAAAACACGCTTTTTGCGTCCTTTATGGAGAATTAGATATGCACCACGAAAGCTTACAGATATGCTGAATTTTTGCATAAATCAATGCATGTGTACCCTTCATAACCTATCACACACATCGTACAGGGGATCCCTCTCAGTGTCGAGGTCTGCATTTGCGTGTTCGCGACTGCCTCGCTTGGGGCAATAGCGGCGCTCGCGAGCCTGTCTCCGGGCATTACGCCCAAAATTATAGCAATGGTTCACATTTTTCGTGCTCCAGTTAGAGGCAACTTCAGAGCTATGTATAACGATATCAGGTTTTATAAATTATGTTCTCAGGGTTTGAAGGTCCAACCTCGAAAAAATCTCCACCAAAACATGATCTGGAACTTGCATTAGAGCCTCACGAAATTCTATTATTCTAGTAAGGCCTCAAAGTTTTCTTGTAGTCAGAGAGAATTTCATGCTGAAATTTAATAATAGATCACATGTCATTTCATATCTGCTTCCGCAAATCATGGTTACTTAGAAAGCAGGTGAAATCAAAGGAGAGTCAGTAATCGGTTTCCCTCGTCAAAAAAAGTTGCAATTGATACTGCTTCACAATGAGCTATCTTATGATAATGTATTACTGTGTCGCTGGTATCTCTGCCTTATTCTTTACATACTCGTTGTACTTGATCTTTAAAGTGTCTACACCACAAATGGTTCCATATATCTACTACTTACTCACGATACAGGTGAGCAAATTGGAGAAATGGGCATCGTTTTAAAATTGTTTGAGGTTTGCGCTTTCCTGGAATCGCTCTACTGGACAGTGCTTATGGCACCGATAATAAAGCTACCCATATTTGGCATAGAACTCGGCGGTATAGTCTGGATGTCATTCAGAATTCCCTCGCAATATATATTTGTAAGTAATTTGTAAGCATTGAAATTTATTTCAGTATCTGTATTTTATGGCTTTTCAACTGTCCTGCATTGTCTCGTCGATTGCGCATTTGCTTGGGCGTTCCTGTATAGATACAGGCTATGTCTTTTCAACTCCCGCTGGGATTTCTCTGCTAAGAAAGAGTATACGATCATGGCTGTAAACTGTGCAATCACTGTGTTTGGCTCAACTCCTGCATCAATTTGGGCATTCAAGGGTAATGAAGAAAGCAGACGCGAAGCCTTTGCGGTGGGTTTCGAAACATCGAATAGTAATTCTTTCCTCAAAGGATAAGTCTCTCTCAGTTGCATTGCAGTCGTTAATTTTTTTGGGGCGGGGAGGGGGGGGGGGGAATCTGGGAAAACAAAAAATTGGGCGTGGCCGTTTTTTGGAAGACGTCGACCAAGTCATTGCCTAGGAGGGCGCATTTGTGATTTCATCTCCAAACTTTGCCAAGTACCGTAACCTTTGCAAACGAGCTAATGAGCGCTCTTGAATACGGTAGTGAGCTGAATTTCTATTGGGGCTCATAAATTTTTACCGTTTTTACTCTAGACATCAGCATTTCTTGAGAACTGGGGTACCAACAAAGGGTACTAATACGCGGTCATACTTCTGTACGTATGAGCTATGTGATCACGTGCGTGGGAGGAGCTCAGGACTTCTAGGGGCGGAGTTTGCCATTTTACCTCATTCATTTTTTTCTTTATTTTTAGCCATGGAAAAAATTCGAAAAGTATGCAATCGAATGTGCGATGTGTCAAGCATACGCGAGAATAAATTTGGAATTTTTTAGATACTTTGGGGCGGAGATATGATTTTTAACAGAAAAGTTCGTTTTCGACTGCTATCATATTTCAGCTCAGGACTCCACCTGGAATACGATTTGGGCGGACTATTGATAGTCATCTTGCAGTGCTTGCTTTGCTCTGTCGAATGATTACACAAGCCACATTAATTGAAGGAAATATACAGAAAGACGACGTTTATAGTAAAAACGGTGAAAGGTTATGAGACACTCTAATAGGTAACGAATGACCCATCTGGACTGCCTCCTGAGCTATGGCTTAGCCAAGATCTACCCATCATTATTATCACAACCGTTTATGGGTATGCAAGCACTGAATTGAAAGAGCAACTAGATGCATTGCCTACCGTAACAACAAGCGGGGTGCCGAAATCCAGAGTGGATACACTGCGCAATAAGAACACTAATTTGTAATACTTATGGTTGTAGTATGAATTTAATGTGTGCAAATCTCTGGTGTGTTATCTGCACTCAACCCGTTATCCTAATTTTTTTCAGATCAACTCTTCTCTGATATTTGACGAAAGTTTCGTGATCAGTGGTGGTCCAACTACCTTACTTTGGCTTGGTTTTCTACTCGTGGCGTCCAGTGCTGCTCTGATCGCTCTTACCATCATAATCAAGCATGTTTCAAATATTCTCAAAGATCATGCAAAGTTCAGCCAGACATCTAGAGATATGCATCGAAGTGCTATCTCTGGTCTCATTATTCAAGTAGGTGGAAAGCTGAATATCTTGGGAAGAAGAACGGAAATAAATACTCTGATGGATAAAAATTTTTTTGCACACGATCTGACAGCGAAATTTGCGTTCAGAGCTTAGAATTCCCGGAAACTAAAGCTTCTTTGTTGTTCTTCATGACTTCCAGGTTTTAAAAACTCAAACTTTTGCAGGGTGTCGCTGTAATGTCATCCGTTGTAGTGCCTATGTGTATGCTGTGTCATATTCTCCTTCTTCCTCCGTCATCGACCACATTTACTTCTCGTAAGAACTTTGAACTCTTCGCAACTAATGTATATACAGTGTCCCAAAAAATGTCTGTTGTTTGATTGTTTGTAAGTCTTCTTGTTTTTTTAGAATGGCTCCCAAGGCCTTGGAAAATCCTTGGGAACCATTCTATAGAGCTGGCCAACTTGATTTACAGTATGAGGCGAATCACTGACTTCTCTACATTACAGAGCCATAGAAGGCCATATTTCATCTCAGAAAGGAAACAGAGCGACCTAAAAACTTTCACACTAGGTTTGCTAGAGCCGAATCTGAATTTGAAGTTTGCATCTAAATATATCTCTTCGTTAAAAATTTATGCCAGGTAATCAGTAACAGCCGTTTTTTCGACAATCTTAAAAAATGTGGTTACAACGTTTAGAAAGCTTCAAAATCCTGTACATAGTTGAATATCAAACTCAGCGTCCATGGAAACTCCGTTACACGAGTTCTCAGATGTTCGAATTTTTCAAAATGGCAGCTTTTCGCAGTGACGCCACATGCCGGAAGTTTCTACCGTAATACTAGAGTACTGGAGCGATCGATGAGCTCCGTAATAGAAACTTAAGCTGAGGCAAGCTCCACAAAATGGTACCCGAACCTTCTCGAAAGACTCAATGACAAGAGAGTCATTAAATCAAACAGCAAGCACATTTTCTCGGGTCCCGTCTATATTTACCCTAATTTCACGCGTATAAGGCGCGGGGGATTTTTTTCTAAAATCGACCAGCCCAGACACGCCAAAAGACTCTACAATCAAAAGACCCTACAACGTGCTGTATACTGCTTGAGAGAATCGTGCAATGTAAAAATTTCTTTCCAGAATACAGTGAAGCGGTTGAGCGGCTCGCTTGAAATTTCGAAAAAATGCGCCTTATACGCGTGAAATTAGGGTACATATCTCAAAAATTTCAGACTATGCAACATGTGCGACATTACTGTTTTCGCTGAAATCGTTTAACGCAAGTTTATCAATGATATTTACTACTAAACCTTACAGGTAAGTAAAGACACTCAAGGGTGATCTTAACGAAAGATCGTGTGGAAAATGATGGATATAACGCTCATGTTTTTACGTAACGTGTCCAGCTACTCAGATTCAACTCGACACTATCTTACAAATTCAGAGAGAACTCGGAAGAGGAGCGCTTCAAAAAGGCCCACATTTTTCAGCAAACAAGTTTTTGGTCTCGTATCTTAATGGATCGGGTACCTTATAGAACCTTTATTTAGGTTCTGCCATAAATAAAAGAATCCAGACTTTTTCTATTCCTAATCCCAATGCCCACGATAGGAAAATTCAGACTTGAAATTCGAGATTAGCAAATATACATATTGAATACATTCTAAATGAGAAAAACGACTTTGTGGAAACGATAACATTCTGTTGAAGGAGATGTTAGCTTCTTTGGAGTTAAGTAGTCGATGAAGTTCACCATGTGGAATAACGTCTATCCCTTTGCATTGTTAAAAATTAAAAAACAAAAAATTCAGTGGAGTTGAGATGAGTTTCTTGCGCATCTTACCCATATGTAATGAACCTTTCCGAGTTTCCCCTTGAAAAAAAATCGGCAGTCATTTTCAATAAATATATACAAATTACACCAAAAGAGTTGGCAGCATGCCAACACAAGTTTATGAGAGATCAAAAGATTGAGAATTGTGTCAAAGAGTTACATTGTATCAAAGCGTGATGGTGCAATTATTCCTCAACTTTTCGGTATTTTTGGAAGAGACAACGTTTAATGAATATGTAGTTAAAACTGTCAGCGTGCTGCAGAGGTGTTAGCAGCTTTGAAGAGTTTAGGGATGACATAGGACTCACTGGAAAGAGCGTCCATTCATTCTAGCAAAAAAAGTTTTGATTCAATGATCACTTGAGAAAGATTATAATTTCAGAAAGCACTTCGCCGCCATCACAGGAGTGAACTATATGTTATCTCGCTACTTTAACAGCAATATTGTGATAAAAAGCAAAGAACCGACATTGGTTAGCAGTTCCGCCGTCTTGAGTACTAACTGACATTCAAAATAAAGTTTTGTTATAATGTTGCCATCGCCTAACAAACAATTGTACAGGACGTAAACGTAACAAATAATAAGCAAAGCGAGTTGTTTATTACTGAACATCATCACAGATAAATAGCGCTGAGATCACTTGTAGGATGAGATCGTGAGGTACATATAACATAGAGCAGTAGCAACGGGCAGTACAATACACGTAGGGCATAAGGCATTAAAGGACCAGACAGAGTAAAGTGTATGAATAGAAAATACTACCACAAGAATGAGCGATTGACCATCCGGAAGAACTTCTGATTTTCTGGTTTGTAAAATCTTTTGAGCCGACGAAGCACATCTGTTTGCACGAAGGGATGTTTTCTGCCTTTGGTCTTTCCCAAGCAGTGTAATGAAGTGTCCGGATGTCGAATGCATGGGAACTTCTTGATAGGGTCCACACCAAAATCTTCTGCTGTCACAACTGAATTCACTATTTATTTTATAATGGCGCTAAGTTCAAACCGTGAAGTTCTACCTGGCTTTAGACCAAGGAAGCGCTCTGTTCGGTTGACTTCCAGAGCCGGTTGGGTGACTAGTCGCTCTCCATCCACAATGTGGATTTGGTCCATAGGAAAGTTGTCCAACCATCTTCTCATGTGTTTATGATAGACTCCGATCCGTATTGCACCCCATCCAACGTTGACGCCACCGACTTTTGAGGAGCAATTTGTCCGAAGCCATGGTGCACAATCGCCAACGGCCATCTCTTCAAACGTTGGCATCATTCCAAGTGTTTTACGCTTTGTGGAAGCTTGTGTATAATCTGGAAAATATCGCATGAGGCTAGAAGTCCAATTTCGAAGTATTTTACCTGAGATTGCCCTCATCACAGGATCCCGCACTACTATGATAATTTTCATTGCTGGATTAAGAGCTCGTATTCGGTCAGCGGCGTTTTTGCTGTGGAAATAGGCTGGACTCTTCTCGATCGTGAGCTGCTCTGGCAATGTTAACGGCATTTTTCCTCTGAAATACGCTTTACATATTATTTTGCAGATGAAACTACAAATCTTTAACGTAATTAAATAGACGAGAATATGCCCATTCATTTTTTTGCAGTCTAAGCAGCTTTTTCAATTTTCCTCCAGCTCAAGCTGTACTAGAGCTTAAAAATCTTCGGCTTGATGAGTTTGCAACTGAATAAAGCCACACAACTGCAATAATGCAAATCGCCATCGCAACCGACTTCCAGGCAGAAGCCAAGTGCGATCCAAAGTTAATTAGAGAGCAGATTTATAGGAATTTCGCGCAGCTTATATTTTGAAAATTAATCATGCCATTTATCTACGTTTTCAGATGGAGAACTTTGGAAGTATCAGAATTATTACATTAGATTTCGTATAAACATGTGCAGCTGTAGTCGAGTCATTTGTAAGCTATTCTGTGTATTGCACATTACGTGCGACATCTCACGACTTACTTTTACTCTCCAGTTGGATGCATGCTAAGAAGCGCAGTTTTTATTACCAAGTGGAGAAAAATAGTGTTTTATAGCGTTTTAGAAATCTTTTGCATTTTCGAGAAAATGTAGATCGCATATATATTAGGTCATTCCGAAAGTAATTTCGCTTTTTTCAAACGGGCGCCACATTTGATGAACAAAAATTTCTAAGAGATCTTGGTAGCATTCGATGCAGCATCTCATCCTCTTTTTAAAGGTTATGAAACTGTTGCAAAACAGTCAATGATCTTTCAAAAAGTAACCAAAATCTGCTTCCTATGCTTTTTGAGATGGTCAAGTTTCGCGATTTTTCTAAACTTTTATATCAACCCTGCGAAGAAGCAAAAGTAACCTATCTATAAAGCAATCCCTACAGCATGCAAAACAATTTTTTTCTCCTTTTCACAGCTTTTCATTCATTTTTAACAGAATTTTAACTCATGCTACCGATTACCATTCTTGGATAGCTAAATCCTCGTAGAACATCAAAGGAAGAGCAGCTCGGGCACTATTCGATACAGCATTTTCTCCTCTTTCTAAAGTGTGTTTTTTGTTTTCGATTCATTTAGTTTTCGGGGATAAAATCATCGTAGATCATTTTTTAACATGCCTTAGGCTTTATCCGAAAAATTCGGATTTTGATATTTCGAATCCGTAAACTCTCACTTGCTTTGTAAAATTAGTGCTTACTCATAGTACCATCTTGGTAGTCTCAAATTCCGAATAATTATGATGTTTGATGCGATTGTGGCTGATGTAGGCCTGCCAAAATCCAATGGTTTTGTTCAAAAATCTTTCAAATTATTGCGAGCTATGAAAAAAGAGAAAAGTTATACTGTATTTTACAAGGTTTGCTCTATCTAATCGTTACTTGGGGTCCTTCTGAGGACTGATTTGAAAGTTCTAAAAAATTGTGAAACTTGACCATCTCAAAAAGCATAGGTCGCAGATTTTGGTTAATTTCTGAAAGGTCATTGATTGTTTTGCAACAGTTCCATAACCATTAGAAAGAGGATGAGATGCTGCATCGAATGCTACCAAGATCTCTTAGAAATCTTTGTTCGATCAAATGTGGCGCCCGTTTGAAAAAAGCGAAATTACTTTCGGAATGACCTAATAGATCGCAAAATATAGGACTGTTTAACCTAATCGTCTTAAAATAGATATAAAAAACATCATTGTTGGGGGGCCAAAAACCAATGGAAATGCAGCTAATGGTAACTTCGTCAAAATTTCGACCAATCTTTCAACAGAAGCCGACAAAGCTAACTAGTGACTTTAAACAACCAGTAAGCTATTATAGAAGACTTTGTCTCTTCAGTTTCTAAGAATTTTTCTCTATTTTTTTCTATTTGATATAAAGATACAGCTGCTGGCATACGTCTACAAAGATTATTTATTGATTACTTACTACTCACAAAAAAAACAGAAGTGAGCTACCGTGCGCAATGTGTAGACTAGCATACAAACTCGCAATGACCCAACTATAAACGCGCTTTTCGCCCACTCCATACCCCAACTCAAATCCATTTTCTCTTGTCGCCGCACACTTTATAGCGTTCCGGCTGCCTTGAAGAAATTGTCATTTCTAATTACTTCACACCTAATAGGATATGTGCTAATTGACCACCTAATTACTGTCGAGTAAGCCTAGTCCGTACAAGGCCGCGTGCGCGTATCAGCGACCGTCGCCTGCCACATCTAATCACCGACCGCAGCTGAGCGCTGAAATGACCGGCTGCATTTGCATGCTGATCTTGTTTTCTCTGCCATTCTCGGCCACGAACTGTGACAAATGACAAGTGGCACTTGACTGCATGTGACAGTTGGATGACGCAGTGGCTGGGGAATATCTGACATGCTTGGAAGTTACCGAAGACCTAGCTCAGTGCACCTTCATCCTGAGTTACCGTACGCTAGATGCTAATTACTGTAAACGGTAAACATCATCGGTCACGCAGTTGTTTTCGACAGTTGTTAGCCAACCCGACAGTGACTGGTAACGTGTCTAACGATTCGGTAACCCTTGGGCAGTTTCAAGATTTATGACTAGAGATTACTACGGAAAATTGATCATCATAATTGCGCAGAACTTGGTTGAATTTACCAATATCTTTGGGTGGAGAATGTAAATAAATCTCCTTCTTTATGGAATGCAATCATCTTTATAGAAAAGCTGAAAATAACCAAAGTGCGAAAAAGCTGTAAGTCCTGAAATATCATGTCGAAATCAAAAAATCAGTGAAGGTTAATTTACGCGAAAAATGAGCTCGACATCTTTCATTTTTGATAGCTCTGTATCAAAAGCTCATTAGTCCAAGGTTTCTACCAAAGTTGATAGATGGCTGTTTTGCACGATAGTATGCAAAAGCTCCCGTGTGTGTACAGCATACTAATAGCCCCCTCCGCTTCACCTCTAGGGACGACATCCAACCATCCATCATAAAGTAAAAAATTTTCAAATAGCCGTGGCCCAGCAGTAGTAGATACTTTCCCGGACGCTATTGCAATTTATCGATGTCAAGCACGACGCGCTACACCCTCTTTAAATATTCTAAAAGTAGCACGATGACTGGCAAAAGTACGAAGAATTCCTTCATCAAGGTTGCTCTCATGCATTGTTTGCGGGGACTTAAAAATTTCGAAAGACGGCGTCTTCAGTTGAGAAACTGTATAATAGGAGCCAAAATCGGCTTTGGTCACATTTCTTGGTCTGGATCGGCTACTGCCATTCCTTTGTCAAGCTCAGCTGCTTCCCAAACGGGATTAGACGAACGCAAGAACGAACTGCACAAAGGCATTTTGGATTCGCACCAATGGGATGAATAGGATTGCCTCGGAAAATGTCCATTCTCATTCTCTTTACAAAAGCTTCGTATGTTCAGATATCCCAGAAATATCTGCTCAGAAACGTGCTCGGAATTCTCGATGAAGAGCACCATAGCAGTGGCTATAACCTTTTACGATGAGCACCCTAGTTAGGTATGCATGTGGTGTGTTCATGCGATGAAGCGTGCGAAACACTGGCCTGGAAGGATCGTTTTACGCTTTTGCATGCATCTGGACATTAGAAAGCTCTGCACGAGAAGCAGCAATGGAGAAGGAGGCTATCGTAAGAATTCTTGGATTTTTTGGTTTCTTCTTATCTGTGAGATTGTTCATAATGTACTGAAACTGTTCAAGAATCGTTCCAAAGATAACCAGAAATACCTAATTAGAGTCTTGTAAAGTCTTTTGTCTAGTCTTTTGCAATAAAGTCGTCTACATTCCACAATTTGATCTCTGCTGGTGATATTTTTTTCACATCAATGATTTTTTGTTTTCTTGTGAAACACAAGTAAAAAAAATCACATTGCCGAAATTCAAAAAATTACTAGGACTGCTAATAATGTAAAACGGACTACACTATTTTCAATATTTTCAATACAACCAAGAACTTCGTATGAATAAATGCGTTCATAGCAGTGGCGGTGCAAGATTTTTTCAAGAGGAGGGGGAAGGAGTCTTCTTTTGCCATGCTTTTCGAGATCGCGGTGCCAGACCCCCGAAACATTTTTTTTACAAAAGTATTACTGGAAGTTTTCAAAATTTTCTTAGTTTCATTTGCGCATTTTACGATCATGGCAGACCTTTACAAGAATTTTGCAACCTATTTCGGGTTAGGAGGCCTCCCCTCTGTGGCTGCCGCTGGTTCATAATTTGATGAATGGAACTCGTAATAAGTGAGACAATGAAGATGAAAAACAAAAAAGGGAAAAGAACCAAGAGTTCTTGCATTTTCATAAATGTCCTTTTTGTATTCAGGTACGAAGAGAAGGTGGGAGACAAGGCATTAATTCCGAAATTGATGCTCTAAAATCAAATAAAATCAGTTTTCTGGTACATTATTATAAATTCGTATTGCAAACAGCAGTCCTGATTCGTAAGGAGCATTTTTCGCTTGATCCTAGTTAAAGTTTTTGAATTTTTCAGACTCACTCTTAACAAAAAAACAACCCTATACATTCTTGATTGAAACGGATATGACTAACTGAGCGTTGACACGCAAAAGGAACAACTCTTTCATTGTAGTCGGTGTCATACATCGCTATTCATATTTCGACATTTTTCGAATACTTGCAAATGGGTTGTACTGCTCTTGAGTCCAAAAAACCGGTGATTTTTGAAGCGCAAATTTGAATACGAAAATTTTTAAGAAATCATTCTTGTGATCAGGGAGGCGATTAAGATGAGAGATTGAAACATTGAATTGTGAAGGTGTTGAAATTTTGCAGTGTCATCGAAAATCCCAAAACATAAATCAAATTTCGATTTGATGGCGCTGCCAAAGTCTCCAATTTTCAAAGCCAATGTTTGCCTAAGCATTGCGCATCCGTTATGTCATGTTATTCCATCTTCTCCCTGAGTAGGCCAAAGAGCCTAATGAGCTCCAGCTCCTTGAGGATAATGATAGCACTCGCACTGCTGGGACGCATAATGTGATTAGCATAACGGCTAATAGACTTGAGAGGTGATGGTGGCGACGGAAAAGAGAAACTCGTCCAGAAAAAGGACGAGATTTGCACGATTTCAAAGGCTCACCTGTACCATTCAAGTCCTTTGTGATAGTTTTTGTCGAAAAAGTGCACTTCAGGACCAGGTGCTTGAATCAGTGGATTGAGCCGTAGGAATTCCAGTAGGGCTCTAGTACCGGCTTTCTTCACACCGACTATAATAGCTGTAGGAAATTTCCGCTGGGGAAGATCGGCTGAGCGAGCGTGTACCATTGGAATATAAATGATTAAAGTGATCCAAAATAACATTCTGAAAAATTACTTTTGTACAAAGAGTCACTGGTATAAATTATTATTATGGAGAGGTCAACGACCGATCATTTCTAGAAGTAAAACATAAGGAATGCAAGGCGAGTAGAGACCACCCGGTGAGTGTTTCCGCCTTCGCCTCTCCTTCACAAGGGCGTGGCCACGATCGGCTACTTCTAGACGGGGGGGGGGGGGGGGAGGAGAGGAAGGGTGGCGCTTCAATTACGGGTTACATTTTCCTAGCACAGCTACTTAGCTAAGTGCAGACCGAACACCGCAAGAGTTAGTAATTGGGCGGGTTAATTATTTAGCAGAAGGGTTCCAGTAATGGGAGGGGTCCCAGCATCCTCTTCAAGCGATTTCCATGAGTAAGCAGGCTCGAGCGAGGAATATGCAGTAATTTGCTTATAAGTTTGATTACATTTGCTTGATTTAAGCCTGCTTATGAAAACTCGTAGTGAAATGCTCAAAAAAAATACAATAAAGAATGAAGTTAGCTAGTTGAATGTCTTTAAAAAATTCGGTATCTTAGCTTTTTCAAGCAACCAATTGAACCTTTCTATTTACTGAATATTGATCAAAAAGCTGGTGAACTAACAATTACGAATGTTGATAGATGAAGGAATAAACTGACTCAAAGTGACTCGGGCTGAAGTAAGCTGAAAGAACTGAAATAAATTATGATGAATTTTTAAGTAATCATATTGAAGAAGGATGGCAAATCACTGAATAAAACTGGTGATTAAATGGTTTAGCAATAGATAAAAAAGATTCAGATAGTTTTCTGCTCCAAATTTTGACCAATTTGATCAACTTCGAAAGGATGGGGGGTTCGGTGTGAACAAACGACGAAATTTTCCATTTACTTTTGATATCTTACAGTCACTTCCCCTCTACTGACCTCTCACTCCTCGACTGTAGGAAACAATACTGAAGGAGCCACCTAATCGCACATCTGTCGCTCCCTCTTCAACCAATATGTCGCAATTTTTCACACCCAACAGCTGAGCTCATTTACCGAAAAGGGTGTTCGCCGATGAATAGGGTGCTATTCTTTCTTGTTATTACCACGGGTAGCCTCTCGATTCCCATAATTCGGCAGTGCCCATAAATAGACTGGGGTTTCCCAAGGTGAATGGCGACAATTACGCTGATCTAAAGGGCCGACTATGAGCTGGCAATTGGCAAGATGGGATTGTGAGTCAGGTCCTGACTGCATTACAGTAATCATGTGACTTTATCGAGTTTGAACGCATGGTTTTCTCGTTCCAGTTTATGTAGTCAGCTTCGAGACTACAGCTGAGTGATGAGCAACGGGAATGTACCATGCATGAGTTCAGTCCGTCGCATTCATCTGCACCTCAATGTGTCGCATCGGCTAATTGCGATGAATGACATAAAATGGAGCATTCAGCAACGTACAACGTAGAGTATATGTAACTGACTAGTAAAACGTAACATAATGGAAAATGTCATGACTGAGGAAGGAAGAAGTACTATTTGAAAACACTCAAAAAGTAGCTGAATCTCATAAAATACAATCGCAATATAAAATTGTAGAGGATTTTTTGTCTATTTCGGTGAAAATTGCAGGAAACGTGCTGATGTTTGCCCAAGCAGAGTATTACGTTTTTTTATGTGCAGCTACTCACTCAAGAGGCCCATCTCCTTCTCATAAAAAGTTTGAAGAACTGGAATTCAAGCTGAGAAGTACCTAACATGCTTGCCCATTGCACATCCAGTGTGACTTCGCTTGGATAGTTTTCTGTACAAATTTTTCTCTTATCCTTATCTATTTTCATATAGCTTATTTTCAAATGGACAATAAAGCTCCCTAATCAGTCAAACATGCTTAAATAACCCCCAATCCCTCATCAAATCGAGTTCTGCGTTGATGACCGTGCTTTTTCAGAGAGCACTGACCTCGACGAACCGGTAAAATATGAACGAGGATCTCATTCAAAAGAATGATTAATGTGGGTTCGTATAACGCAAACAACCCTATCCTCATAAACTCGATGCGAATCCATTACTTTTTTCATATGAAGAATTGAATAGTTCTTTAATTACTCCTGGCTGGAATATATTAGGTTACCAAAGATAAGTGTTTCTTGAGCAAATCAAACAATCACATACCTATTTCATACTAGCTATTCCATAAAACTTTTTTCATAGACAATTTGTAACTTCTTTTGTTACTGGACTGCGAACTGTAAGAAGCGAAATGCAATAATGAAAGGAGGCAGAGGGGCGTGAATCAGGTTTATGCATCGAAAAGGTCAAGTATAAAGATCGACGGCAATGAATATACAAAATATTTTTTTTATGCAGTCCCTGCCAAATTGGAGTCCCTGCCTCAAATCTATGCATTGCCTTGGGATTATCTAAACATAGCGCAATTTTTACACAGTCAGTCATTTGTGGAGCTTAGAAATCCATGAGTTCGACGTCTCACTGTGCTTGACACACACTGTAGTCACTGCCGTCTAGCCAGGTCAATCCGTTTCCACAATACCGTTTGATTAGCGTCTTGGTTACTCATTCCACGCAAGCAGATTACGGCGATTTACGCCGCCGTGAACGAGTCATTCCGCGGCCTTCCATGACTATTGTACAAATCACTTTGTTCGTGGTTCGTCTATTAGCTTTCGAAATAATTCTCATTTTCATTCTAACTCGGATAGCGGAACATCTTCACCCGCTTAACTCTATGTCGTTTCTTTCCCTCTTTCTCTGAATTCATAAGAAGAATCCAAATTGGTCCTCTCAACCGCATTGAAACAAAAGGAGCTGCAAAACTTTTCCTTATTCTGCTGCTCCTTGTTTGACACCCTCCAGCTAGGTCTCCCTAGAGGATTCCATTTCTGTCCGCACGTTGTTCGTAACCATTAGGGCATTCAATTTGTGGAAGTGATTGATGTGGAGTTGCTGGAAATGGCAGTAGCTACATTTCAAATCCTGCAAGAGTTTGGAGGAAAATCCCTGTGGAGGGCTTGAGTACTTGGTAGACGAGACTTGTTACGGTTTCCTGTGGAGTATGTAGAATATTTCCAGACAATGGTCAATCAAATTGATGACAAAACCACAAAACAACTGGATAATTTGTTCTTAGTTCAAAGGGGCTGTATAAATATCTTATTCACTCGCATATCCTCGCGTAATACAAAAGCTCGCATCACACAGCGGGATACAGTGAATGTGTCTGGCCACTTCACGCCCAACGCTACCGCCGTCATAGTAAATGAACGGTCAAGTATACCGTTAGTCGCACCATCATTTTGAGGATTAACGGAGCTCCAGGAGGGCTAAGAGGAATGCCGTTCGCTCCTTTGTGGCATAATCTAACAATAACAGCTTGCATGGAGGGGAAGGAGGGAATCTGCCAAAATTGAGAATAGATTTCAAACTAGAACTCAACTATTCAGTTGTATAAAAAACCTGGACGCTGAACTGGGCCCTACAGAGGGAATCTACAAAGACTGAGAAGTGGAGTACTGAGCCCCACGTGAGATCCTTTGTTGTAAATATCAGATTAACCAACGAACTGGAACTTAAACCCCGAAATGAATTCTCCGCTGTTCTTTCTTCACGGTCCGCTTATCGAGATTCAGGATGAATGAATTCATCATGAACTGCGTTCCCATAAATAGTTATCTTTCACACGATCTTGCGTGTGCCTGCGGAGTGAAGAGAAATGGCACCACCCGAACAGATAGCATCTCGTCATTACCATCAATGTCGAACGTCGAGATCGTAATGACTCAATTCAACCATAGTCTCACTACTGTTCCTCTAAATGTAATTTCGATATTCCGAGTCTGGATTGAGTTCACAGCAATAAAAAGCTGAATTTGCCATACTCTCTTCCCAGTCCCTTTTTCTTCACGCTCCTGGTTCCACCTCTAAACAGGTTCTTAGCTGCGGCTGATAAGCTGATTTCTCCCTCTGAATCATCCTTGGCAGTGCAGCAAAGGTGACCAGAATCCGTTTTCACGCTGACACAGCTTCTTACGCAATCCTTGTCGGTGTTTTTGATTGCAGTAATCCCTAATCAGCCTTTTTGAAGCTTGCAGCTGTTATTATTAATTTATGAGTTTTAGCGGACAATGCATAAATGAAGGGAATAAACAATTATCACTCTAATGCGCACCTAAAACTCCGAAAATTTTTTTTATCAATATTTATCTCCTCTTGTCAATCCCTGGCCAGCTTTTGGACACATCGGTGCTCGGAAAATAATCTGAGCATCTGTTCGCACCTACTTACCTTCACCTCCAATCAACTCAAACCCTCAATCAGTCATCCGCAAAACAATATGGAAATCAGAACAATGTACCCACAAAACACCTAATTCTAGGGTGTTGTGCTAGAAATCTGTCACTTCGCTTGTCCTCCATCAGACTCTAATAGCTACTCTTAACGCGTTTAAAGCTACCATAGCTACCGTTTGCCTGTTGCATTTGGAAATAGAAAAAAGAATTGCTAACTATTTCTCCGTAATTACTCTTGAGATTAAGCTTTTTATGAGATCTATTTGAATTCGAAAACATCGTGTAGTTAATCTAACAGTGCAGGTGCAAATTAACGGAGATAATCTACAAAACCAAACAGCACATTTGGACAAACTGTTTAAGAACTTTTCACCTGATTTATCGAGAATGAGTTTGAGGTGGGCAAGTTGATCGGCAGGACTAATAATGTAACCGCTTGATCCTTATTATCTGAAAAATGAAGTAACCGCTGCGAAATTTGGTATCGGTTTTCTAATAAATTGTTTTTGCTTTTTTATGGACTTACATCAACAATACCAATCTCCCTTTCTTAGAATGAGTTGAAATCGACTCTACATTAACTTTCACCAAGCTATCACTGGCCTAACCTCAATAAATCCTTTATAGAATATGCCAAAACATTAGTCACACCTAATAAAACAGACTTGATCTCGTCATTGTTTCGCTCATTTCCCCAACATTTTTGCACCAAAAATATTGCCTGCTCTC